CCATGACATCCTTCAGGGCAAACCAGCTAGCCCCCACCCTTGGACCAGGCCTCTATCCTATCTAATAAAAGAGTAATATGCAGATTGACCATCACTCCAACACACAATAGCTGCCCCGATGTGGTCAAAGATGGCTGCCCCCATGTGGGCACAAGATAGCCACCACAGATGGCCAGCAGGAGAGGGCAGTTGGGAGGGACCAGGCCTGCAAGAGAGGGGAGTTGGAGGTGATCAACCCTGCAGGGGAGGGTAGTTAGGAGTGACCAGGCCAGTAGAGGAGGGAAGTTGGGGGCAAATGGGCTGGCAGAGGAGCAGTTAGACATCAATCAGGCTGGCATGGGAATGATTAGGGGGTGATAAGGCTGGCAGGCAGAAGTGGTTAGGGGAAATCAGGAAGGCAGGCAAGCAGCCAGCAGTCCTGGATTGTGAGAGGGCTGTCCAACTGCCTGTTTATGCCCGATCCCACCAGGCAGTCGGTCCTCTAAACGGGCTGCTAAATGGTCAGTCGGACATCCCTCGAGGTATCCCATATTGGAGAGGGTGTAGGCTGAGCTGAGGGGCAACCCCTCCCCTGCTCCCATGCACGAATTTCATGCACCGGGCCTCTATTGTGATATAGTGGCAGACACTGATTAGCATTGTAAGGAAAAGTAAAAGAGGGCAGGAAGTTAAAGAGTGCAAATACTCTGGAGTTTACAGTGGGGCTAGGGATGTTTAGATAGAGGTTTGAGAAGCCTTTTGAGGGAGTGACAAGAACCTGAAGGAGGAATCTTGTAGGCACATGGGACAGCAAAGGTGAGAATTTACCTAGAGTTCTTGGGGAATATGTGGATCGAAGGGTATGAGAATAGGAACAGGAGATTAAGTCACAGAGGCTATGCAGCTCAGGACATCTGTAGGACAAGAGGGCATGTAAATCCTGTCTCCTGAGCCTTAGCAGGGATAGCTCCTTATATGGCTTTGAATACTTATTACAGGTTTCCCCTTTTCTTTCTATTTCCTTTGCAAGCTGTCCTATTTCTAGAAAGAATGTGCTTGCTTTGTTAACCAAAGGACAGATCCTGAGTTCTATTCCAGATTTCCTTTCAAGAAGGGTGTAAAACAGTGGGTGGAGTCTCTGGATCCAGCCAAGAATTCATTGTGATGTCTAATGTGATTTGTGGGGGAGGGGGAAATCATTGTTTCAGAAATAATACATTATGGTCTATGACCTTATTATATATTTTTAATGTAAATAGTAGGAAATTGACTTTTTTAATGAAATTCATAACAATTTTTAACTGGCAACATGCATGTTTTATAGTAAGTATAACAGTTACCTCCTTCATAAAAACGAGGTGTTGGAATGTTTTGAATTCTTATGAAACACTTTTCCCAAACCTGTCTTTTTGGAGGAAGTATAAATTATTCTCATGCTGTTGAAGTAACTAGAAGGTAAAAAACACCCTGGAGCTTGCAGATGTTTGTTATGGTCCTTGCTAATATAAGGAGTGTTGGTATAAATATGCAAAACTATGAGAATGTGGAGAAATTATCTGCTTTGTCCCCAAATAGAGTTTTATTTACAGTCTAGCTCAATGTTTAATATACATTTGCCTCTTTTAGTATTTAATCAGTTTGGTTTTTTAATTCCAGAATTCTGATAATTTGATTTTCCACTGATAAAATATTTACTTGTCATATCAGGCAGGGGACTAAACTTGGAAATTAAGAGTACTGAGTTAAATTTAAAATTTGTTGAAGAGTATTCATCATGATGCAGTCTATTTAATGTCTTGGCAGTACCTCTGGCTCTTCTCATTTAACATGTTGGGAGACAGACTGGCAGCATTTGTAAACTGAAACCTGGTTGTGTTCAGGAGAGTGACAGGGGAAGGAAGGAAAATGGACAAAATTTGAAGGTGTTAGTATGTGTGTTTCCTTAAATTAAAGTGTGACACATTTGCTTAAAATAGAATTTTATATTCTGTTTAACAAGGTTATTATCAGTTCACCCATAGATGATTCTAAGACTGAATGAAGCTGATTTTAAAATATTATTTTGTGGAATAACCAAATTTAACTCAGTATTGTCATAATGTCACACAAGTTATTTTGATATAATAAGCATGTTTTACAATATGTTTGAGGCCCTCCAGTAGACTTGAAATTTATTACTCAGAGGAGAAGCATGCATTGATAGTATATTCTTAGCTACTGCTTGTTTTCTGTCACTCAGCTGACAAGCCCTATGGAATCTAAAATAGACCTGACCAATGGGAGAAAGCCTTCACACTGTTTACAGAGGATTCGGATGTGGTCAGTTTTATCACGCATTGCAGCCTCTGTGTTGCAGTGTTGAGACAGCAGGATGCAGAGTGCACTTCAGATTGTCTACCAGAGTCCCTGAAAGGGAAGCTTTGAAGGACAGCTTCTAAATAAGAAATAGGAGGAGTTACAGTACCTGACTTAGGGCTGCTCTTATTCAAGTTCTGCACACAAGAAAGATAATTTTCAAGTGTTATGAAGGCGGAGAAGGATCCCGAAGATGAAGAAAATATCGAGATCCAAGCTAAGTGTAGCACAGCATGAGGATTGGAGAACAGGAAGAGTTGTAAAGAGAGGGCCAAGTCACTGATTAGGAGTTTGCCTGCCTGCTTGCTTTGTCAGTTACAGAGATTCGTAACTTAATTTGTAGTAGTTTGCTATTAGCAACAAAAACTAAGTCCTGTCTATGATGAACTGTTGGTTTTCTTGTGCTCCTAAGAACAAAGTAGGTATCCCGATAGCCCGGTGTAACAAAAGATTCTGTTAGGCTTTGTGAACTGTATTCGTTTAAAATGTTCTACGTTTTATTAATTTTGGTTTCTTTGTCTTATTATATTCTTTCTGATTTATCTGACTAACAGATTTGGGTTAGTAATAGAAAACAAAAAGTTTTTGTTTCTTTTTCTAGGTTTAAAAAACACTTAGTAGAATATTTTTTTTCCACGTAGTAGAATCTTAATAACTGAGCAGTATTTCGGTTAACTGACAGTTGAGCCAAAGGGAAAATTGTGCTTGGTAGCATAGAAGTGAAAATCACATGATAATATGAAAATAATCACCTTTAATTATCTTTTTTAAGTTTTTCGGATTTTACCATTTTTAGTGTTTTAAATAGCTTCTTTCTCTACCAGTAAATTTACTTGGAAATAAATTTGAGATTGCTTTAACAAGAAAAGCTTAATCAATTTAGTGCAAATATTTGTGTGACTTAATTCCTTAGGTGTTTGAAAACATAGTATCCGAGACCTACATCTACTACTATTTCCCAATTTAAAATCAGTAAACTGTTTGTTTTAAAGTTAAAGAAGCAGATACTTAAAATATAGTTTAGCCTTTGAATCAATAAGTAGAACTATCTCTACTCATAGTTGTCAGTTTGAATTTTTGAAATTAAAAGGAAGTGGGTTCATCTCCAAATTTGATGAATTTAGAGACAACAATTCTGAAGTCTGTGTGGATACCTGAACCAGATTCTATTTCAGGAGTGGGTTAAAATGTAAGGTATTTATCTTTTTTCATATTTAACTTCCATATTTATTTTTATTTCAAGTATTTCATAAATAGATTGCTTATTTAGCTAGAAAATTGGCAGTTTTTTTCCTTTCAGTTTGGAGGTTATAGTAGATATAAAATAATCATTTTGCTCAAACACTTAATATGCCTCAGATAAGTGATTAATTTCCCTGCCCCCAGAAATTTGTTATGGTATTTATAGACATCGGAATTGTTTTGTCAGTTAAGTCAAAAACATGTATATCATTTTTTTGCCCTAGAAATAATATTGGACTTAACATAAAATTTAGCAATAAGTTTACTCTATAATATTGTAAAAAGGCTAAAATAATGTATATTTTAGTTTTGGGCTCTACATTTCTGCTTACTAAGAGAATATCCAAATTTCTGGTTTCAGAATGTCTTGAATGTCTTTTCTCCAATCAAAGCTAGCTTTGATTCTGTTAGACAATATTTTAAAAATTGCCTTTGTTCTTCCTTATAAATACATATAGTAGTGAGCTTTTGTTAAAAATCTTTTTTAAACAAAAATAATGTATGTTGAAAGTAAATAAGAAGGAAGAAAATGAAAATCACCTGTTATGTATTATTTTAGGATTTTTTAATTACTACTTCAGAGTCCTTTGTAGAGTGTTTTTCTATGTAGAAGTTTTGTATTTACTCTCATATAAGCATAATGAATTGCTTTCTCTATTGAGTATGTGTCTATGTATAATTTGCTTTTTACTCAAGTTGGGAAGGAGGTTTTTGTTGCTGTTGTTTTGATTTTTAGAGATAGAGGAAGAGAGAGGGATAGAGAGGTAGGAACATAAATGAGAGAAGAACATCGATCAACTGCCTCCTGCACATATGATTCCGAAACCTAGGCATGTGCCCTGATCAGGAATCAACTTTGACCTCTTGGTTCCTGGGTCAATGCTCAACCACAGGATGGGAAGGAGTTTTTTTAATGTGTGCAGAATTCTGCATCTAAAAGGTTTTGAAATAGATGTAACCAGAACCAAATCAGAAAACATGAGTTAGAGAATAGGAAAAGCACACTAATTGTGGAAATTATGAGAAATCATGGTTGGGCTTGGCCACTTAAGTTATTTAATGTTCCTGGAGCCTTGACTTCTCATCTGTTAATTGGGAATGATAGTTTTAATTTACTAGGGTTGTTTAAGTAATTTATGAATGGCATAGGGTAGGTATTCAACAATTATTTTCTTTCTTTGTACTGAAGGCAAAAAAAACAAAAAAACAGCAGAGAACATGAGAAACATGCTTTTTCTCAAAAGTCTAATTTAATATAATTCTTTATCATGTTTTTGAAAAGTTCTCTCTGTAAAATTAGCACAGCAGGAAGAAAATTTGGGATGCAATTGGAAACTGAGTGATGTATATACAATATTTTTTTTCCTTTCTTCTTTAGTATGCTATGTTTACTCTTTTTTTTTTTTTTTTTTTTTTTTTTGTAGCATGCAGCAGATTGGAACAAATATGATGACAGATTGATGAAAGCAGCAGAAAGGGGAGATGTAGAAAAAGTGTCTTCAATCCTTGCCAAAAAGGGGGTCAATCCAGGCAAGCTAGATGTGGAAGGCAGATCTGTGTAAGTATTATTGATGATAATTTCCTAAAGGGAATTTGGGAAAACCCTTAGGAAACAAGTGGAGTTTGTGAATTGTGATTATCAACTTTTTAAATTAAAAAGTATTTATCAAACCTGACATTATAAAATCTTTTGAACATCACTTTTTAAACACTGTTCTCAGTTTGAAAGATTTCCAAGATAGAGAGAGAATAGTAAATTACTACATGTAGTCTAGTTCTTTAGGCCTTATGACAAACCACAGACTGGATTATTTAGTGCATTTGCTCTATAACCTTTTTTATGTTCCTTATATTTAATCCTCACAGTAGCCCTCTAAAAGAAATGTTTACAGAGCTGGGATATGAAACCAAGTTACTACGTGTTTCACCAAAAATAAGACATCCTCCGAAAATAAGACCTACTTACAAGTTTCCTTCTGAGTGAAATATAAGGCATCCCTCCGAAAATAAGCACCCCCTCTCCCCCTAGGCTAATCATGAGAGATTTGGTCCACTGATTCTGAAAGAAATGGAGTCACAAGAAATTCACTAGGAAATTCAGGAATTGGATTGTTATGATAATGTTCCAGAAGATGATGACATGATTGTCATTGAATAAATGAGTAAATTCTTGATACTGTAGGATTCACAGTTTGTCTGGTTTGTGTTGACAACTACCATACTACTGTACCGTATACAGATAATAAATTTCCTTTATTTTCATTTAACAATAAATGTGTACCGTATTCTTCTTCATGGAAAAATAAGACATCCCCTGAAAATAAGACCTAGTGCATCTTTGGGAGCAAAAATTAATATAAGACACTGTTTTATTTTTGGGAAAACAGGGTATCTTGAAAATAGTTCTATAAATTGCACTGCCTTTTCCTCACAACCCCCAATTCATTTGTATATTTGGGGAAATGAGAATTAAATTTAGTTTAAATAAAAATGTTAATAGTAGAAAGGAAGACAGAATAACTTGTGTGCTTAGGGTGACAGTAGGTAGTGATCCCTCCCTTTGTTGCTGTGTTACTGAGGACTACAGCTTGTTTACATGTTTATCTTTTCTCCCATTCCTTCTCAGTCTTCATCATTTACCTTTCTGTTTAGGATGGGGGTCAGTTGAGTTAAAGGATAAACTCTAGGTTCTGTTACTATCATCTATAATTATAGCAGTTAAAATCAAATTTGGGAAACCTTCCAAAGTTAGAGCTGAAAAGTCTCATTTCCTGAAATTTCTCTCAGTCTGATACGTGCATGAGTTTATTTAGAATATCATGACTGGCAAGTACATATTAAATATATAGCAATGAATATTAAGAAGTGAACAGTTAATTTTTTTATGTCTTTATATCCTTTCATTTATTTATTTTTAAATTTTTATTATTGAAAGTATTACATATGTCCCCTTTTTCTCCCCATTGACCTCTTCTAGCCTGTCCCTGCCCCTCACCCCTTACTGCAGGCCTTTTCCACCTATTGTCTGTGTCCATGAGTTATGGTTGATCTCTTCCTCCCTCTCACCCTTTCCCTCTGAGTTTCCACAGTCTGTCCCATGCTTCTATGTCTCTGGATCTGTTTTGGTGAACAGTTAATTATTGATATGGGTCACTATTTTAGAATGCTTAGATATTTGAGAATAGTAAAAATAACAAAGCATGACTTAAAAATTAAATAGTTTTTAAGAACAATAAAGTTTGAAAAGTTTATTTTTCTCTATTCTTTTAATTTTATCCAGTAGGCAATTTGATAGCTACAGAAACATTGGTTATTTTGAGTCCTATTCCTATTTTAGCTAAATTTTAAGCTATTTATAGGGCTCACAGTATAAATGGTGCAACCTTAATATTTAAAATTGACTTTGTTTTTCATTTTTCTTTTTATCCCCAAACACCAAGATATTAAAAGATGAAGGGAATCTTCTTTGTGATTGAAAATCTTCACTGAAACCTTTCTTCAGTTTTGCCTGTCCACACTTTCCGTGTTTTGAATTAATGGTTGCTTAAGTTTTTGCTTAGATTTTTTTTTTTAATCTAGATCAATTTTGAGTGAAATTATTTACATTAAAGGTCAAAGTTATAAAAACATGATATAATTTGATGAACTAGGAACATAATTTTGTGAAATATTTGAGTTATTAGTTTTTGAGTTTTTCACTATAAGAAATAGAGTTCTTTCTGGGATCTATAAGATAAAATATTTTCCTTTTGTTATTCACAAGTTGTATTCTCCCTTAAAGCATTTATACTTAGTCAGATACAACCTGTTACAAATATATTTTCTTTATTATGTATAATTATAAAAACAATTTTAATTTGGATGATTTGGGGGAGGGAGTTTAATTTGAAAATTTAAACAAAAGCAACAAGTGCTCCTTGAACTCAATCTAATTTCAAAAATGATATATTTAGAGCCTGGATATAGTCTTTGCAAGGACCTGTTTCTTCCTGTTCACCTCTCTCCTAGGTTGCAATCCTTTGCCAATGGAAAAGGGTCAGATTCACCAAGAAACCTCCCTACCACTTGGAGAGCTATGGATTCCAATTCCCATCTCCCTAACCTCTCAAGCTGTCAGTTGTGCTGTTCAGCTTTTCAGATGTTTTTTCTGGAATCAGCAGTTGCTCCTTGCCCAAAATGGCCTCAAACACCAGGCCCTCCTCTCTGGGCCTCTGAGCTCATAATTTTTCACTATCTTGTTAGCTCATTGCTAACTTTATACATGTCTTATATTTTATGTATCTTTCCTAGTTGTCCTCAGGTTATCCAAATTATCTGCATTTCTGTTATGGAAGTAGAGTACAAGTCTTATTTAAAAAATAAAATGTATTGCCGTTTTTAATTGCAAAAGGGTATTTCTGTAATGCAGTTTTTTTTGTTTTGTTTTTTTTTCAAATTTCCTTGACAACTCTGCATACAATTTAATGATTGCTGTATCTTCTTTCTGATGCGCATCTACTTTTAGCACACTAGCATTAATAATGCATTGTGGATTGTTGTGATTTCTGCCCTTTAGTACATCATTAGTGAAAATATTAAATTATTTTGAAGAACTTTTCCAAATTTTATAAGCCAAGAAATGAAAACAGGCAAACAAAAAGTATCACTAAGATTGTTGCGAGAATAAAAACCCGTGCTTAAAAGAAATTACCATTCCTCAAGAGGTTCTAATGGTGCATTGCAGAGGATAATTCTCCACTGCTATGCTGCAAAGAGATTAATAATTTCAACCTTATAGCATTTTAATTCTTGTAAAATGAGAATTTATCTAACTCTTAAGAGTACTATATGTTATTTTTATCAGAAATACCACTTTCTCTCTAATGTAAATTATACCAAATCTTTTTAATTAGTAGTTCTTGGTCTTTAGTTTGCATTTATATCCATCATAGAGATGCATGAATGAATGTTGTAATATCTTAAAGTGAATTTGTAAACTCCAGGTTTTGTCTCTAAGCATTCAGTTATTCACATATTTGAGGGCTCATCATCTGACTGGGTTGCATCTGGGAATATAATAGGAAACAAAACAGACCAAAATACTTGCTTTTATGAAGTTTATAGTTGAGTGTGAAGAGATTGATAGACTACAAAGAAAATAAATCCTGAATTTATATGTTACATTTCAAAATGTGTAATTCTATATAGAGTAATAAAGGTGGAATTGGAAACTGGAGTACTGAGGTTTCAGGGAATGGGGAAATATAAATCCTTTAAATGATATGGTCAAGAAATACCCCTGATGAGAAATTCAGAGTGTTTCTGTATCTAGGCACCTTTTAAGCAATTACTCATTTTTTTTTATCTTCTGCCATTTCCACAGTGGTTATTGTTTAGGACCTCAGTTCTCTTAAAGCCTGATGTATCACTTGCCAACAAGTCTTATTGTATTTTCTTACCAGTTTAGATTTGGTGGAGAATAGTTAATGTAAGTTCTATATATTTAATACAAAAAAAATGCTATCAATCAGTTATACAGATCCATGAGCAAAAGGAAGAATTAATGGTAGTCATTGATATTTTTTGGAGAAGAAGATACCATTTCTTTTATGATTTTTAAGTGTAATTTAGTTTGTTGTTTTAAAGACTTTTCTATTCTAGCCGAAACCGGTTTGACTCAGTGGATAGAGCGTCGGCTTGCGGACTGAAGAGTCCCAGGTTCGATTCCAGTCAGGGGCATGTACCTTGGTTGCAGGCACGTCCCCAGTATGGGGTGTGCAAGAGGCAGCTGATGGATGATTCTCTCTCATCGACGTTTCTAACTCTTTATCCCTCTCTTTCTCTCTGTGAAAAATCAATAAAATATATTTAAAAAATAATAATAATAAAATTTTTTTTTCTATTCTAGGTTTAATGTGATAATTCTAAAAAGAAGGGATAACTTTTTGATGAGTCTTTGGCCTTAATCTGCTGTAACTTTATTTGTTTGGGCAATTTAAGTATATTTAAAACTAAGCAAATTAGATATTTAATTTGTTACATTTACTAGTATATCACTGCTGATAGGAAATTTTCAGTGTGTTTATTAAGTTTCAAGCACCAGTGCCTTCTACTGAAATAATAAAGTATAGAGTTAATGATATATAGTACCTATTTTCTATTATTAAGACTACTAGAGGCCTGGTGCATGAAATTCATGTATGGGGGGATATCCCTCAGCCCAGCCTGCACCCTCTCTAATTTGGGACCCCTTCATGGAACTCCAACCTCCCATTTAGGATCAGGCCTAAATGGGCAGTCAGACATCCCTCTCACAATCCAGGACTGCTGGCTCCCAACAGCTCGCCTCCCTGCCTTCCTGATTGCCCCTTACCGATTCTGCCTGTCAGCCTGATCATCTCCTTACCACTCCCTTGCCAGCCTGATTGATGTCTAACTGCTCCCCTGCCAGCCTGATTGCCCCTAACTGCTCTCCCCTACAGGCCTAGTCACCCCTAACTGCCCTCCCCTGCAGGCCTGGGTCCCCCTCAACTGCCCTTTCCTGCAGGCCCGGTCACCTCCAACTTCCCTCCTCTGCCAACCTGGTCACCCCTAACTGCCCTCCCCTGCAGGCTTGATCGCCCCCAACTGCCCTCCCCTGCTGGCCATCTTATGGCGGCCATCTTGTGTTCACATGGGGGCAGCCATCTTTAGCCACATGGGGGTAGCCATCTTAATCTTGTGTGTTGGAGTGATGGTCAATTTGCATGTTGCTCTTTTATTAGATAGGATTGAATATTAGAATTTTCCATTGGTCCTAAGGAGGTATTTCTAGAAAGTATTGGCCCTTATATATATTTGGGTTAAAATGAGTTTTTCAGTATATGGGGTATTTTTTTTTTCCTTGTATTAAATATATAGGAGTTCCAGCCTTTAAAATGTTTGTGTGTGTGTGTCTTTTGAATAAAAGGTGACATCAGTGTAACATTTAAGTTGACTTTTGGTAGTTTTATGGTATAATAAATATTTTCTTTTCTTTTTTTTTTTTTAGCTTCCATGTGGTGGCCTCAAAGGGTAATCTTGAGTGTTTGAATGCCATCCTTATGAATGGAGTTGATATTACAACCAGTGACACTGCAGGTATGTTTGCCTCCATAGTCAATTACAAAACAGAAAGATACAAGCATTGTCTTTTCTTATTCAGACCTAAATGTGATTTTAAAAGAGAAGTTCTTAATCTTCTGTTTGTTTTTTTAAGTAGTTGAGAAAATATTTACTTCTGAGTTATCATGAGGGAGAGGTCAAGTATAGTAATCCTTTATAGAAAGGATTACTGAACTGATGAGCAGTTGAAGACCTGAAGTTCAGTGTTAGTCTGGGTAGTGTTACAGTATCTTGAAATCTCAGGTTTTGAGGAACCATTCAGGGCCATTTAGTTTATATTCATTCTGTTCAGTATATGAATCCTCTGTGATGTAAGGTCATTTGGCATTTGGTTGGATGTGCTGTGTGATGGGGAATTAACTGCCTTATAACAATAAGAGCATTACCAATAATGATCATAACAAGAATGGCTGACACTTACTAAGATGGAAGTGCTTATAGGTACTCACTCCTTATATCCCTACATCATCCCAATGAGGCTGTGAGGCACTGGGTCCTTAAGTGGATACGTCTCTGTCAGAGTCTGTGTTCTTAATTATTATGCCTCAAAAAGAAACCTGTTATATGTTTGGCTAGCTAAGTACATAAAAAAATTACTTCTTGTAGATATATCCCTTACCACAATTTCTTCTAAACTTAGTAATACCTATATCTGTCTTTTAAAATCTTACAATGTGCCAAAGCCGGTTTGGCTCAGTGGTAGAGCTTCGGTCTGCGGACTGAAAAGTCCTGGGTTCGATTCCGGGCAAGGGCCTGTATGTTGGTTGCGGGCACATCCCCAGTGGTCTATGTTTCTAGCTCTCTATCTCTCTCCCTTCCTCTCTGTAGAAAATCAATAGAATATATTAAAAAATAAATAAATAAAATTTTATAATGTAAGTCTGTGCACATCACTAGGTAGACCTTTAAGTATTTGAACACAACTATTGCTTTTCTTCAATGAGTATGTTAGTTTTCTATTCATTAAGATGATTGTTTTCAGTTCTCTGGGACTCTTGATAGCTTATTTCTCTGGATTTCTACTTTGTTTAAATATGAGGTGACCTAGAACAGAGAATTTCCTTAAAAACTGTAATATTTTATTCTATGAGGTCATTCTTGTGCAAATAAATACATTCCTATTGTGCCAGGACCGGGCAGTTTTGAGAACCATGGCATGGTAATACAGCTTGATATCTGGTTCTCTCCAACTTTGTTCTTCTTTCCCAGGATTGCTGTGGCTATTCAGGGTCTTTCTTTATTCCATACTAGCTGTAACTGGCCACATGTTGCTGTGGCTCTGTCTGATTAAATGGAAAAGAAAGAAAAGAGAAAGCACACATTTCTAATATGTTCAATTTCACAATGCTTGTAGGTATACAATATTTTTGTCGTTCCATTGTCTGTGCAGATATAGAGATTGTCTGGTTTGCTGACTCTAGAACACGCAACATATAATTGTCCAACATATAATTGTCCATAATTGAGAAGCAATCCTGTCTAGATCTAAACTGCACAATTCTAAAGATCGGCCCTGAGCTTTGTTAATGGTGATTGCAAACTCCAATTGAATTGGGAATTGCAATCTCTTATATTGAAATGGCATATCCTTGAAATCATAGGAATGCGAGGAATGAGGACATCTTCATCTTTGAAAGGTCTTATTAAGATTGTTGCCGAAACCAGTTGGCTCAGAGGATAGAGCATCAGTCTGCGGACTGAAAGGTCCCAGGTTCGATTCCGTTCAAGGGCATGTACATTGGTTGCGGGCACATCCCCAGTAGGGGGTGTGCAGGAGGCAGCTGGTCAATGATTCTCTCTCATCAATGTTTCTAACTTATATCTATCCCTCTCCCTTCCTCTCTGTGAAAAAATTAATAAAACATATTAAAAAAAATTGTTGCTTCTAAGAAGCTGCTCATCAATTGTTTTACTGCAATCCGCTTGCCTTTGTAAAGCTTTGGCTGGTTGATATTTCACATCATGATGTTTGGCCGGTTTTCAGTTGCAGTAGGTGCAGTGGCATCCCTGGCAGATTGAGTGAATTCAAAAATTCTGTTGGATAAGTAACCACTTCATCTGCTTCCACAACAGTGTTGACGGACTTGTATGTGACTGCCTTGCTTTGAATGTTAGACTGAATAATATTGTTAAGTTTGTAGATATCTTTGTTCTTGGATGCAAGAATAGCTCATTCACTCAGCCAATCGTGATTCTTATAATTGGTTTGAATATTGTGAAATACTTTTTCAACCAATTCTTCTTTTGATGTCACTAAATTGCAGAAGTTATGAGGCAATGAATTTCGTCCTGAGGTCAGATCAACCAGCACCTTTCCATTCCAAATTTCTAGCAATTGATGTGAGAATATCTCAGCTGAACAATCATTTTGCAGCTAGACATGCATAATTGTAGTTAATTTTAACGTCTTTATTTGTCATCACAAAGTAGAGTATTTCAGGCAAGCATTTATTTTGTTCACTGGTGTCGATCAAGGAATTACAGGTAATGTTTGCCTGAAATCTCCTGCAAGCAATATTAATGCAGTCCCAAATGGTCTGATGTTTCCATGCAAATCTTGCTATGATCGATCAAGAGCCTGGAGCGATTTTTTGTGCGCCATTGTGCATTCATCCCAAACAGTAAGTTTGCATTTCTGCAATACTTTTTCCTAATGCTTTGGAAATGTTGCACGTGGGAGTTTCAATGAATTGCATGTTCAATGGCAATTTCAAAGTGGAATGAGCAGTTCTTCCACCTGGTAGCAATGTCACAGCTATTCTGGACAACGCAAGAGCTAAGGATATGTCATTTTGGGATGGAATTGCTACCAGAATCAATCTAATTAGGAACGTCTTACCAGTTCCTCCTGGCACATCTAAGAAGATTTCTCTAACCCTGTTATTGACAGTTTGTATTGTTTGATCATAAATGCCTTTTTGCTCATTAGCTTAGGAATATTTGATTGCACAACGAAAAAAGATTACCCGTGTTGTAATTTTGTTCATGACGCAGTTCTACATCAAACAAAGCAGCAGCTGATCGATTTGTGATGGCATTCCCTATTGATTGAGAACTTTGTTCGTGATATCTAAGCACAAATCTTCAATCATTATCAACATTGAAATGGAATTGTAAAATTGGAAATTTGGAAATCATAAATCGGAAATATTGAAATGGAATCGTAAAATATTTAGTATAGTGTGTGTTGCTTTTACATCAAACGGATGATGCTATTTTTCAAAAACAGCATGTTTTTAACCTGTAACAGGTGTGGCATTTATAAATAGTAGGTATAAGGTATATAAAAACATGTGCCTATTCAAATGCAAAGTTGTGTCAAAATTTCAAAGCAATCAGTAAAAAACTTTGGGAGATTTAAGATTTTAAACAAATGAACATTTATATTTTTATTTATATAGATTAATTTTTTTAAGAGTTTGTTCTAGATCTTTGAAGCATTCTGTTGGTATTTTAATGGGGATTGCATTGAATCTGTAGATTGCTTTGGGTAGTATGGACATTTTAATGATGTTGATGAACATAGTATGTTCTTCCATTTGTCATTTGTTTTTTGTTTTGTTTTTGTTTTTTTAATATATTGATTTTTTACCGAGAGGAAGGGAGAGGGATAGAGAGTTAGAAACATTGATTAGAGAGAGTCATCGATCAGCTGACTGGGGACGTACCCGCCACCAAGGTACATGCCCTTGACCAGAATCGAACCCGGGACCTTTCAATCCGCAGGCCGACGCTCTGTGTTCTTCCATTTGTTTATGTCTTCCTCCATCTTTTTTCCCAATGTCCTGTAGTTTTCCGAGTCTTTTACCTCCTTAGTTGTAAAAATTCTACAAGATTCCAGAGGCAGCAAAATAGCAGATGTATGTCGTAGTAATAACTACTGACAAAGCTCCTAGGGCAATGGAAACTAAGGAACAAATAAACAAATGAGATTACATCAAAATGAAAAGCTTCTGCACAGCAAAAGGAAACATCAACAAAACTACAAGAAAGTCCACTGCATGGGAGAACATATTTGCCAATGATATTTCAGATAAGGGTTTAATCTCCAAAATTTACAGATAACGCATACAACTTAAAAAAAGGAAGATGAACAATCTAAAAAATGGGCAAAGGACCTAAATAGACACTTTTTGAAAGAGAACATACAGAAGACCAAGAAACATATGAAAACATGCTCTAAGTCACTAATCATCCAAGAGATGCAAATCAAAACAACTATGAGATACCATCTCACACTTGTCAGAATGGCTATATCAACAAATCAACAAACGATAAATGCTGGAGAAGATCTGGAGAAAAAGGAACCCTCCTGCACTGCTGGTGGGAATGCAGACTGGTGCAGCCATTTTGGAGAACAGTATGGTATTTCCTTAAAAACTTAAAAATGGAACTCCTATTTGACACAGTAATGCCACTTCTAGGATTATATCTCAGGAAAACAGAAACACTAATCAGAAAGGATTTATGCACCCCTATGTTCATAGCAGCACAATTTACAATAGCTAACATTTGGAAATAGCCTAAGTGCCCATTTGCAGATGAGTGGATTAGAAAACTGTGGTACATCTACACAATGGAATACTACTATGCAGTAAAAAAGAAGGAATTCTTACCATTTGCAATAGCCTGGATAGAATTGGATAGAATTCTAAATTAAATTCTAAATTGAAGATCAAACTATTTATTTACCACCTTTGAAGGACAAAAAAATTTGTGTTACTTATATATGCATTCCATTGATTTAGAGGAATATTTATTTTTAGAAACTTGAACTAACTATACCTCTGTAGAAATCTTAAGACTTTTTACATTTGTGCTGATTCAAGTGTCTTGACAGGTACTAACCTGTTTTTTAAGTAGTTTTTTGTTTTGTTTTGTTTTGTTTTGTCTATGATTCTTTCCTTTGTGGACATTTTTGCTTAGTGGTCAATCTAGTAACTTTTTTTTTTTTTTTAATATATTTTATTGATTTTTTTACAGAGAGGAAAAGAGAGTGATAAAAACATTGATTAGCTGCCTCTTGCACACCCCCTACTGGGGATGTGCCTGCAACAAAGGTACATGCCCTTGACCGGAATTGAACCTGGGACCTTTCAGTCTGCAGGCCAACGCTCTATCCACTGAGCCAAATTGGTTTCTGCAATCTAGTAACTTTTGCCCTCCCTCTTTCTTTGCTGGTCAGGCTCAAATGCCTTCCCAAGCTCAGCAGATATAATTTCATACACTCTGTTCATACACACCTGGCTTATCTTTGTCTTTTGCTTTTGATGTTATTTAGTTGTACTTTTATTTGCCCTGTTTTATTGTGCTTCTCCTTAAAGTTGTTCTTTCCTGAGTACATGGACCTTGTCTCAGTTGTTGTTATATCGTTTGTTATGATCTAGATCTGAATATTTGATTTTAAGATTTTTGACTAAAATATATTTATGTATTTTATCTTAATTGCTTTATTTGTGAGCAAAGTGAAAGTATGTTTTAAAAAAAAGATTTCAAGTTAATGTGATTTTGAGGTATTTGTGATCTGGGTTTTACCAGGTTATGTACCTTTAGTACAATTCACAGTAGTGGGGCTTTAGATCTGATAGTTCTTTGATTTTTCACTGCTCTGTCTCAAGTGGCTGGATTTGAATTTGTGTAAGAAAAGACTTGATTTGACATTTTTTTTTGTGACTAAGTTTCTGTGGCATTTTGTTGAACACCAGGGATTGTCACCACTGTGCCTACTCCCACCATTCCAGTTCATACAGTTTCTTATTGACAGTTATTATAGTTACTTTTTACAATGTAAAATGCCTTTAGGAAACTTGTCCAGAAATAATAGCAAATTAAAATTTGAAATCATCGCTCCAACTTATTTGTAAATAGAGAATCTCTTGTATCTGTACCTGTGTAAACACCTGGACTCATTGTTTTCTGTTCTTCAACCTGCTTAGTTAGCTGCTACAGAGAAGTGATCAGACTCAAGAAAACTTACCACTTATCTAAACTTATATAAAACTGAATGAGAGTTAAAAGTAAATTTATTTATTCAGGATGAACAGAACATAAAATACTTTTTTCTAGCAAAAAGTTCTAGTTGTGAAGTGCAATTGTTTGTAAGGAAATTTGTGACTTTAGAGAGAAATTGAGAGCATTAAAGAACGAAAGGAGGAATATCTTGATGAAACCCTTATAGTTTTCACTGTTAAAGAGAGATGTTTGGGTAAAGAAGTATAATTAGGAGGTAGAACATTTTCTGCAAATTTACCTTTTTCTTTTTTCTTTTTTTAAATATATTTTTTATTGATTTTTCACAGGGAGGAAGGGAGAGGGACAGAGAGTTAGAAACATCGATGAGAGAAAAACATCGACCAGCTGCCTCCAGCACACCCCCCATTGGGGATGTGCCCGCAACCAATGTACATGCCCTTGACAGGAATCAAACCTGGGACCTTTCAGTCCACAGACCAACGCTTTATCCACTGAGCCAAACCATTTTCGGCCAAATTTACCTTTTTCAATATTCAGAGTTAACCTTTCAGATTATCTGCCCTCCTCATAATTTTCTTTAAATTGCACATTTTAACACACATAGTTGAACATTACTGATTTTCAGAGACAAAGCCTTTTAATTAACTGAATTATAGTCGAAGCATGGAAATTACAGAATACCCTTTCTTTGACTTCTATCTCTTAACTTCCTCTATTTTAGAATCCATGCTGCCTATATGGAAATGTTATGAAAATTCTAGGTATCTTTCTCTTCTTTTTTATTCATCCTCTTTTTCCTTTTCTCTTTTCTTCCTCTTTCTCTCTCTTCTTTGCTGTGCCAATATTTAATTATTTACTCTGTCTCAGGTACTGCTAGAGATACAGGGCAAATAAGACAAAGTGCTTGTTCTTTATGCATTTGTATGTTTAAATTTTCTTCCTACTTTCATTGTTTTGGTGTGTACTGGGTTGATATCTTAACAAAATATCAACCCAGAAGAAACATCTTAGAAACTGAAAGCATGCTTACAAATCGAGTATCCTGTCAATTACTTTTGAAAAAATGAGTCATATTTCTATTACGGAAAAATTCACATGTATTTTAAATTATTTCTTTTATAGGAAGAAATGCTCTTCACCTGGCTGCAAAGTATGGACATGCATTATGCCTACAAAAACTTCTACAGGTAGTAAAAGTGGTTAATATTTTTGGCTTAGTTATTTTAATTGCAAACAATAGATGTGTTTTTGGAATTTGAGATCAAAGAAAATAGTGGGCTAACTTTGACTATTAGCTTACATAATATTTTTTTCATCTTTTGTGAAAGAATGTGAACAATAAAGAGCAAAAACTCTGAGGGAAGTGAATTGAATAAACTCAGTGTATTAAAAATAAATAACAAAAGACATGGCCTTCCTGTTGACTTTAGTTGGAGATTAGAATTTTCTGTTGTGTGGTATATGGCATAAGATAAATCAAGACAACATAGGATCTATCTATTTTTAATAAACATCCATAACTTAAAATAAATACTATAAACACATGTTTATAGGCAGGCAGCTACAAAATTCTCTGAAGTAGTGGGCTGAGTTTTCAGGTAAAGGGTCCAATCACACATTTTCATACACATTTTCACCATAAAGTTAAGCAGCAAAACTTATCTTTTTTTTATTCAGTTGTGCAAGTTTCAATCCATGCTGGAAAAAAACATACAAAATTCAAACTATAATGTAGTTTATATGTACCAGGCTATTGTAATGTACTGTATGTTTTTCTGTTTGGTGAGATATTATTAAATTTACAGGATAACATTATGTTTGTTTCATGTCAAAATATTTAGTGGCTTATCTAGACTTTTTGGTGTTTTTTTGTTTTTTTTTTATAAATGGAATATTTTAAGATTAAATAACAGCTGTTCATTGGATTTCAGGTATTTAATTTTAAAATAAAAGTTTTCTCAATGACAAAGTTTTTGTATTTTAACAGTACAATTGTCCCACTGAACATGCAGACCTGCAGGGAAGAACTGCACTTCATGATGCTGGTAAGCAAAGATTGCACTTGGACAGAAAGAAATACTTGTTAAAATGGCTGAACACTAGCCTAACCAGTTTGGCTCAGTGAATATGGCGTTGGCCTGCAGACTGAAGGGTCCCAGGTTCGATTCCGGTCAAGGGCATGTACCTTGGTTGTGGGCACATCCCTAGTAGAGGGTGTGCAGGAGGCAGCTGATCTATGTTTCTCTCTCATCGATGTTTCTAACTCTCTATCCCTTTCTCTTCCTCTCTGTAAAGAAATCAATAAAATTTATTTTTTTTAAATGTGTGGAGAAATGGGATATTATACATTTTTACTCAAATTTGAATATGTATATTTTTGGATTATACAGCTTAGAAAGATTCATTCAGTCAGTATTTACTGGTCAGTTTTCTAGATACTAAAAGTCCAAAGATGAATAAACCTGATCTCAGGGATCTCCAGTGGTAGGGGCTGGGATGGGAGGTGGCAGGGAGTGGGGGGGAGGGGGGAGAGGGAGAGAGAGGGGGGGGAGGGAGGGAGGGAGGGAGGGAGAGAGAATGAGAGAATTAGTGAGTGAGTTTGGGAATTAGCAGGAGAAATGGGAGGAATATTTTTCTCTTTCATGAAAACTACATTTACCTAATTAACATGTCTGAAATTCATTTTTCTAATCTTCAAAATAAAGTTAAACCCAAGCCAGCATGGTTCAGTGGTTAAGCTTTGACCAGTGAATCTAGAGATCACAGTTCAATTCCTGGTCAGGGCACATGCTGGGATTGTGGGCTCGATCCCTAGTGTGGGGTGTGCAGGAGGCAGCTGATCAGTGATTCTCTCTCATCATTGAATGTTTCTGTCTCTCTTTCCCTCTCTCTTCCTCTCTGAAATCAGTTTTAAAAAGTGAAGTTAATACTACTGCAGTAAGTGGTTATGATTAAATAATGAATACAGCCTGGCATTTGGTAATTTCTTAATTAAGGGTGGTGGTGATTACTTGGTTAGAGGTATTAGTGCTGAATTTCATATCACTGTAATGTGCTATATTTTAAAAAAGATTTATACTAATCATTTCACAGACTTTATTACTCTTAGTTGTATATCTAAATTTATCTGTATTCTTTAGGTGTCTTAAAATACTTAGAAAAAAATTGGATATTAAGTATTTTTAGAATGTAATGTTTGACCTGCTGTCTGACTCTTTTAAGCTTTACACTCCTACAGTTTATTAGAAGGCCAGAAGAAAGGAAGGAAGGAAGGAAGGGACTTACCTTTCTTCGCACATATATGAACTATCTGCAGTAGATTAATATGTTTTGCATTAAACATGCATTATACTTCAAATTTCCTTCAAACTTTTATTCCTTAATTTTATTTCAATTTTTAAATATTTTTGTGCTTTTATAATATTTTAATTTTTACACAATGCATTTTTGTATAGAATGGTATTATTTGCAAAGCATTATTATATACATTATCACTTAAGACTCCTAATGACCCTTGTGAGTTGCTATAGATTTTATTTTTGTTAATCCTCACCAAAGGATATGTTTTACCATTGCTGTTTTAGAGACATTGGAGAGAAAGGAGGGAGGGAAGAGGGATGGAGAGAAAGAGAAGGAAGAAACATGGATGTGAGAGAGGCACATTGATTGGTTGCCTCCTACATGTACCCTGACCAGGGCCAGGATCAAACTTGCAACCCAAGGTCTGTATTCTTGATGAGGAATCCAACTGGAAACTGACACTCTAACCCCAGAACCACACCGGCCAGGGCACTATAGATTTTATTTTTGCTGATAATTTTGTATTGCTACTTAAATAAAAACAGTAGCTTAGATTCACAAGTGATGTGCTATCAAGATTTTATAGTTATGGAATCATCAAGACAAATTCACAAATTAAATTTAAAATAATTTTAAATATTTATATTTGTAATCTAATTTGCTATGCTTAATGGGATTTCAAAAATGATCTTGCTGCTCTCTAAAGTATGAATATGACACATGATATTTCCATTTTCTTATCACCTTTTCCTAGTTTTTAAAAAAATTAATCCAACATTATTAATAATCACTTTTTAAAAATTATTTTAACTCTTTATTGGGGAAGATTTCAAACATGCATAAAGTTAGAATATTATATTAAAACACCTATACTCTTTTTGTTGTTGTTTTTTTGTTGTTGTTGTTAATCCTCACCTGAGGATATTTTTTTCTATTGATTTTTAGAGTGGAAGGGAGAGGGAGAGACTGAAACATCAATATGAGAGAGATACATTAATCGCTTATCTCCCACGCACACATTGACCAGGGCTGAGGATCAAGCCTGCAACCGAGATACATGCCCCTGACTGGAATCGAACTTGAGACCCTTCAGTCCACCGAGCATCAGCCAGGGCAAACACCTATACTTTTTATTCAGCTTAGACAGTTATTAATATACTATAGGCCCCTTGTAGGAAGATTCCTGCAATAGGGCTTCCTGCTGCAGTCTCTGCTGCCCTGCCTGCTTCCCTTCCTTCTCCACCTGCCCGCCTGCTTCCCTCCCTTCTCCCCAACCTCACTTGCTTGCTTATCCGTAGCTTTGCTTCCTTCTGCATTGCTTGACTTCTTTCTATGCTGTCTTCAGTCTTCACTCTGGCCAGGATATGCAAATTAACTGCCATCTTGGTTGGGTTAATTTGCATACTCACCCGGATTGGCTGGTAGGTGTGGCTTGAAGGTGTAGTGAAGGTATGGTCAGTTTGTATGATTCTCTTTTATTAGAGAACTAGAGCCTGGTGCACAAATTTATGCACCAGTGGGGACCCTTGGCCTAGCCTGCAGGATTAGGGGCTCTCCAACATCCACCGAGTGGTCCCAGATGGCAAGAGGGCTCAGGCCAGGCTGAAGGATCCCACCAATGCACAATTGGGGCCAGGGAGAGTTACAGGAGAATGGCCAGCCAGGGAGGGACAGTGGGAGGTCTCCAGGGCATATCTGGCCTGTATTACTCAATTCCCTATTGGCTGGACTCCAGAGGCAAGCTAACCTACTGGTCAGAGCATCTGCCCCTTGGTGGTCAGTGCATATCATAGTGAGCGGTTGAGTGGCCTTAGCATATCATTAGCATAGTATGCTTTGATTGGTTGAATGGCGGACTGGTCAACCAGACACTTACCATATTAGGCTTTTATTATATAGAATAATCAATTTTGGTTCATCTATATACCACTACACATTATTATCCCCCTTTCCACTGCAGTTTTTTGTTTTGTTTTGTTAATCCTTACCCAGGGAGAGAGAGAGAGAAACATTGATGTGACAGAGACACGTCAGTTTGTTGCCTTATCCACTTGCTGTGACTAGGGCCGGGGATGGAATCTGCAACCAAGGTATGTGTCTTTGACCAGGAATAGAACCTAAGACCTTTCAGTACCCTGACCAATGCTCTAACAACTGAGAGCACTAGTCAGGGCTCCACTGGCATATTCTATATTAAATTCAAGACATCATAAATTATATTCATAAATAATTCAATTTGTATCTCCAAAAGATAATTCTATTTTGTAACTAAGTATAATACCATTATTATGCTTAATGTATTTGAAAATGGTTTCAATGTCAATTAGTCAATGTTTAGTTTTTTCCAGTCTTTTTTATTTTTAGTTTATGCTTTTTTGAGGTGTAATTATATACAGAAATTGCACATAGTTAATACATAATTAATGTGATTATGGACTTTATATAAAAGACTTGCTTGATTAAAGATAGACAGAAATGAACATTTACTTGATTTTCTTATACTAGAGGCCCGGTGATATTCATGCCTGTGTGAATGTGTGTGTCCCTCAGCCCAGCCTTCACCCTCTCCAATTTGGGACCCCTTGAGATCAGGCCTAAATGGGCAATCGGACATATCTCTCACAATCCAGGACTGTTGACTCCCAACTACTTGCCTGCCTGCCTGCCTGCCTGATTGCCCCTAACTGCTTCTGCCTGCCAGCCTGATCACCCCCTAACAACTCTCTTGCCAGCCTGATTGATGCCTACCTGCTCCCCTGCTGGCCCGATTGCCCCTAACTCCCCTCCCCTGCAGGCCTCATTGCCCATAACTGTCTTCCCCTGCAGGCCTGGTTGCACCCAACTGCCCTCCCTTATGGGCCTGGTCACCCCCAACTGCCCTCCCCTGCTGGCCATCTTGTGGTGGCCATTTTGTGTCTCCGTGGGGGCGGTCATCTTGTGTATGGAGTGATGGTCATTTTGCATATTACCTCTTTATTATATAGGATAGGTTTTGGTTTTATTCTATTGAATTCTACAAAAGAAATGAATGCTGACTTTATCAGTAATTTTTGTACTAATAATCTAGACTTTTAAAAACTTCATGGGAAGTACAAACACAATCCTATTTAATGAAATTAGCAGTAATTTTTTTCCTAATTTAAATATGAACTATAGTATTGGCCAGAGAAGATACATCATACAATTTTATAATTTGTAGTAAAATGATACTGCTTTGTGTCATTAAGGATAGACATTGCAATCTCTGCTTTGGGAATGGAATATTAAATGTATGAGTCATACTTTACCATGGCTCTTATATAAAAAAGTGAATATGATCCTATGTAATAAAGAGGGAATATGCTAATTGACCCTCATACCCTCACAAAGATGGCATTGCCCACAGCCAATAAGGAGGGAAGATGCTAATTGCCTCACCCTCAAAGATGATGGCACCCACAGCCACAAGATGGTGGTGCCCAATCCCCTCAGCTCACCCAGGACCAGCCTGAGGAACTATCAAATGACTGAATAAGCAGGCTGCTTGGGGTGATCAGGCAGGCAGGGGTCACCAGGCTGGTGGGGATGGGGGGCAGTTGGGGGCGACCAGGCCAGCAGATGCAGCTGTTGGGGGCAACCAGTCTGGTGGGGGATGGGGGGAGGCAGTTAGGGGCAACCAGGCCAGCAAGGATGGGACAGTTGGGGGCAATCAGGCCAGCACGCAGGAGCAATGAGGGGCGATCAGGCCAGCAGGGGGGGGCAGTTAGGGGTGACCAGGCAGGCAGGCAGGTGAGTGATTAGGAGCCAGCAGTCAAAGATTATGAGGGATGTCCATCTGCTGGTCTAGACTGAGGGGTCCTGGATTTGAGAGGGTGCAGGCTGGGCTAAGGAGACCCCACCCCCCTGTGCAGGAATTTCATGCACCAGGCCACAAGTTCTTTTATAAAAATTCGTCTAACACTTCATGGGTTAAGCCATTTAAAGCCAAGTTTAGAAACTTATTATAATTAGAAAATTTAAGTTTGATATATATTATCTGTGTTTATCCTTAGGAGAGCGGTATATTCTTGTCTTCTACAAACATTGGTTGATCCTAATAAATTATATAATATTTATAATAAAAATTATTTTGTCTAACCCATTTTCAGACAGAAAATTGATGCTTATAATGCTAAACTGAAGTTGAACAATATTTCAAGCTTGTAACCTAGAAAATGAAGAATTTAACTCTTATATGGACCTAGCAAAACACCACATGTCTTAACACCTGTTCATTATTTATCATTCTCCTTTGTTCCTCAAAGCTATGGCAGACTGTCCTTCTAGCATACAGCTGCTTTGTGACCATGGGGCCTCGGTGAATGCCAAAGATGTAGTAAGTCAATTTATGTTTAGTCTCATTTTAACTCATGTGTTCTAGCTTTTATGTTTTGGGTGATATGTTGTCTAATTCTTATTTTTCTTGTTGTTTAGGATGGGCGGACACCACTTGTTCTAGCTACTCAGATGTGTAGGCCAACAATATGTCAACTGCTGATAGATAGAGGAGCGGATATTAATTCCAGAGACAAACAAAACAGGTAATTTTTTGTTTTTTATCACAGCTCCCCACATACCAGCTGCATACACAGTGATTCTGAAATTCTGCTGCTGTGATAGCCTAACCATCCCTTTTGGTTCAGCCTTTCCTTGGAATTGGCACCATTTACTTTTCTTCAGAGTCTGCTGAAATTGGATGGAGAGGCACATAGGGGAAGATGACAGGTAAATGCAAAATATAAGCAATGATTAGAGCCTGTCTGCCAGCTGCCAGACAAAGAAATCACAAAAAAGGATCCCAATTATTTTAAGCTTTATGAAAATGTTTAATAAAATGAGCTTAAATAAGATTCAAGAAAGAACAATTAAAAATCAGATTTACAGTCTACTTTGTTGGTGAGTCTTTTGGTTCCTGGAGCTTAACATGTTCCAGTACTGATTTTCTCAAGGTGTTTTTTCTCCTCCTCCTCCTCAGCAATAAAAATAGAGAATTGGGCACAATAATTTCTAGGATCCTTCTAAATTTGCATGATGATTTAATTATTTGGTTAAATTATTGCTATTTGCCGATACACTGTTAAGTGTTTAGTGCCATCTCTGTGATGGCAGAATAAACCAGTAGTCTATGTTAATGGGGTTAATTGAGGAAGGTTTATTTGAGAAGGCAAGTTTTAAAATTAGGTGTTGGAGATGTGAAAGTCTCCAGGTAGGAAAAACAAGGCTCTTCTAAAAAAGTAAATGAGGAACAGGAATTTGGTTCTTGTTTTGTTTGGTGAAGAAGGGATTCATTGGGGAAGTTTGCTTTTTGTGGTTCAGTTCATGAAGGGACTTGAATAGTTTGGGCTTATTGTTGAGCTGGTGGGGTGACAGTACCAGTTGTGGATGATGTCTGTGGTTATTTACTTGTAGGACATAGTAGGACAGGAATAAAGGGAGTTAGTTTGGGAGAAGTAGGTAACAAATGTATATAAACTGATAAAATACTTTTCCACAGGTTATATAGAGCAAACTAAAACACAAAGCAAATGTTTTTATAACTGCAGTGAAGTAAAAATATAAGATTAAAATGTAGAGTGAAATTTGAATCCTTAATAAGGATGACTTTTTAAAAATATATATTTTATTGATTTTTTTACAGAAAGGAAGGGAGAGAGATAGAGAGCTAGAAACATCGATGAGAGAGAAACATCGACCAGCTGCCTCTTGCATACCCCCTACTGGGGGATGTGCCCTCAACCCAGGTACATGCCTTTGACCGGAATCCAACCTGGGACCTTTCAGTCCGCAGACCGATGCTCTACCACTGAACCAAACAGGTTTCGGCAAGGATGACTTTTTAAAGTAGTGATTGTTCTTTTGAAATGGGGGCTCTGGAAGATTTCTAAAGTATTTTCTTAGATCTGTCTCAAGGTTTTTTATTCTCCATCTTCCCTTTTAGAACTGCTCTCATGTTAGGTTGTGAATATGGTTGCAAAGATGCTGTAGAAGTTTTAATTAAAAATGGTGCTGATATAAACTTGCTGGATGCCCTTGGCCATGATAGTTCTTACTATGCAAGAATTGGTGACAATCTTGACATTCTAAACTTATTGAAGACTGCATCGGAAAATACCAACAAAGGTACCAGAAGTTTTCTCTAACTAGAAAAGTTCAGAATAGTAAGGTGCAGCTGTTAAAGATTTCGGTGGTAGAACTGCAGTTTGTAAGAAGCAAAATATTCATTTCTGAGGCAGTATGTGTTGCAAATTGTTTAGTTTATTAGTAAATCCTACTATATTGTGGAATAATTTATGAACTGAGTATAAAGGTCAAATCAAGTGTTTTAGTTATATATATATTTGGGGGGGGTGGAACTCTTAACTTTTTTTTTTAATAAATCTTTATTGTTCAGATTATTACAGGTGTCTCTCCTTCCCCCCCCCCCCCATAGATCCCCTTCACCTGATTCCCCACCCAACCCCAAGCCCTTACTGTCTTCATCCATAGGTGTAAGATTTTTGTCCAATCTCTTCCCGCCCCCCTCAAACCCTTTTCCCCCTGAGAATTGTCAGTCCATTCCTTTATGTAATCCATGTTGATGATGATGAACTCCTTTAGCTTTTTCTTGTCTGTGAAGTTCTTTATCTACCCTTCAATTCTGAATGATAGCTTTGCTGGGTAGAGTAATCTTGGTTGTAGGTGTTTGCTGTTCATCACTTTGAATATTTCTTGCCACTCCCTTCTGGCCTGCATAGTTTCTGTTGAGAAATCAGTATGTGTATTCCCCTGTAGGTAACTAACTGTTTTTCTCTTGCTGCATGTAAGATTCTCTCTTTGTCTTTTGCCCTTGGCATTTTAATTATGATTTGTCTTGGTGTTGTCCTCTTTGGATTCCTGTGCGCTTCCTGAAATTGTAAGTCTATTTCTTTCACCAGGTAGGGGAAGTTTTCTGTCATTATTTCTTCTAATAGGTTTTCAATATTTGCTCTCTCTTCCAGCACCCCATAAATTAGGATATTGGTACTCTTAAAGTTGTCCAAGAGGCTCCTTACAGTATCTTATATTTTGAGGAGGGGGGGGGGGGTTCTTTTTGTTTTACTGGTTGGATGTTTTTTGTTTCCTTATATTTCAGATCTTTGGTTTGATTCTTGGGGTACAAGTTGAGTTTCTGTGTATTCTTTATTTCAGACAGTGTATGTTTAATTTCTTACTGATCCTTTTCCTTTTTTTGGCATTCTTATAAAGGTCCCTAAAGGTCTCACTAAGCTTCCTGGATGTCTCATCAAGTTTCTCAGCAGTTTTTAGAAGATTCTTGAGTAACCTTATAAATGTGGTTTAGAACTCTATATCATCCAGTAGTTTGCTTTTTTCCATTGCTCCCTTTCTCAACATGCCTCTGTGTCTCCGCATTTTGGCTGCTTCCCTGTGTTGATGGAGCGGCTTTGTGTGGTAGGTGACCCACAGGGGCCAGTAGCTCAGCCTCCCCAATCACCCCAGGTGGACAGTCTTGGTGCACCCCTTTGTGGGCTGAGTGCAAAGTCTTGGTGTAGGTAAGCCTTGATTGCTGTTGGTGACCTCCAGGCCAATTGGCTGTGAGGACCCTCTTTATCTATAATGGAAAAAATGCTGCACTGGAGATACATTTATGATGCAGGACTTGTTTTACTGAGGCTTTGGTGCTCACTTAGTCTGCCTCTTGAATGTGTCCCTTATGGGTGTGAGGAGTTGAAATCTGATGTCTCACACTGACCTCTAGGTACACTGGCTCTGGATCTCCAATGGGATACAGGTCATCCACTGTCTGAAGCCACCCTGCAAGAGCTATAGCGAGAACTACAGTTTTCTCCTCTTTGTTTGGGAATTGGAGGTTTTGGAGCTGCCTGACCAGGGCTGCAGTTTGCTAGGTTAAGCTGTGATAGGGCAGGCCATTCATATGCAAAAGCCATTGCTTGGAGCTTGGGTATGTTTGTAGGTTATGCGGGAAGGGGTCTCAGGGCATCATTACGCTAGGACTTTGCAAACAGTGATGGCTGCCAGTCAGCCATATCTGCATCTCTGACCGCTTCCCCATGTCTCGTGCCCCGCACCCCAGCGCAGTTAACAATTATTCCTGTGTGCAGCTCAGCTAGCAAGCCACTCTCACTTTCTGACCCAATAGCAGACAGTCCAGCTTCTCCCTGTAAGAGTTTGGGTCCCCCGAGTCTCCCCAGAAACTGGATTTCAGAGTAATCTCCCTTCTGGTTGAAAAAAGCAATGCCCGCCGCCAGCCCAGGTTGTGTGCCACCATACCTCAGCTTTTCAGCGCTTGTGCACGTCTCAATGCTCTTTTCTTTTCCCTTCTAGTTGTAGAATTTTCACTCAGCCAGCTTCCCCATGGTTCTGAGTGATAGTTTTGTCTTTTAGTTGTACTTTTGAAATTGTGTGAGGCAGCAATTTCGGTGTTTACCTATGCCGCCATCTTGGAACTTCTCAAACTCTTAACTTTTATACTTACAATTTTAAAGAATCATTGTTCAAATCTGTATATAAAACATTCACTCAATATTTATTGAATACTTGTGCCAAGTATTTTTCTGTGCTTATTAAAGAGAAATTGGAAAATTCAGAAAAGTACAACAAATAAAATTAGTCACTCATGCTACTACATTGGAGCCTCTATTTACATTTTAAGGCTTATCCTTGCACTCTTCTCCCTGGGCATGAAATCGAGGTCACCTGGAGTGAACTGTAGATTACTATAAGTGTAATATATTTTATAGGCTTTTTCCTCATAAATATTTTTTATGATATGATTTTTTTTTTAAATTTATTTTATTGAGTTTTTAACAGAGGAAGAGAGAGGGACAGAGAGTTATAAACATCGATAAGAGAGAAACATCGATCAGCTGCCTCTTGCACACCCCCTAGCGGGGATGTGCTCACAACCACGGTACATGCCCTTGACCAGAATCGAACCTGGGACCTTTCAGTCCACAGGCCGATGCTCTATCCACTAAGCCAAACTGGTTTCGGCTATGATATGATTTTTATTAATGTATAAAATTTCATCTGTTTAAGTTTAATTTAATTATGCAATTTTCTATAGGTGTAATAATCTTAGGATCAATTCCTGTAAATTGAATCATGGGGTTTCAAGGTATCCACATTTGTTTAAGCTTTGATTGCATACTGACAAATTGCTTTTCAATTAAGGAGTGTTTTGAATATTGCATTTTTCACCTATCTTCCCTCCCTACCATTGAATATTATCTACCTGGATATTGTCATAGCACAAAAACCTCAAAAACACACAGGTGTTTTTAGAAATGCCAAAATGATATTTCACTATTATTTGAACTGTAAAGTATTAAGCATTAGAGGAAATTTAAATTTTAGTTTTTTTCATATAAACTCAATTGTATAGTTAGGGAATTCATATCCACCTGAGTTAACCTCGTATTTCACTGTTTCTCTTCCTCATCTCTTTAAATCTTCAGGGAGAGAACTTTGGAAGAAAGGACCATCAATACAACAGGTAGATCTTAAGATTATACATTAATTGTTTTAAGTTTAATGGGTTCTTCTCTCTCTGCTCAGTTAATCATGTCCACTCAGCTTAAGATAATGGATTTTAATTACAATGAATATATCCAGTGAGAAATAAGTAACCTCCTGATTGCTGACCTTCAACATCCAGCCCTTTGAAGTATGAGATACTGCACTTTGTTGAGATTAAGTGATGTATTTTAGCCTGGCAGGTCATAGCCAAGTTTTTCTATTCTCCCTTAATAACGGATCATGTGTTTACTGGTTTTGGCAAAATTTTTCCAACATAATAAATGAAGAAAACAGAACTCAAAATTCATTATATATTGTGATTTCAATAGTACTCTTAACATTTTGATTCCCTTCTTTCCTCTGTATTTAACTTAATGAGGGCTTTTCTTAAAAAAAACACACACACCCAAAAAAAAAAAAAACACCAGACATGAAATAAATCATACCTCTCACTAATTTTATTATCAAGTCACTATTTAATACTGGTTTTGTGATGTAGTTTCAGTAAGTATCATTTTGCCCTAATCTGTTTGAGCTACAGTGGGGTTGGTTTGCAGCAATCTCTCACTCTTGCTCAAAAGCTAGTGTAGGCAGCTTTCCTCTTCTGCTGGCTGTTTCCTTCCAGGCTTTCAGCTTTCCTCTAGTGAGAGGAACCTGAGCACTTCCAAACCCTGAAGAGAAAGTAATCAGGTACCTTCTGAGCAATTCTAATCATCATTCTGCATCATTTCTCTACCTCTCACCTGAATCTGAAAGCTATATTAAAGCATGTTTCACATTTTTATCCATCAGAATTTAGTAATACACTCATGCATGTTTTATGTCTGCTGTCACTTTTCTTTTTCATCTGGAGCAACTCTGTCAACTTTCTCTCTTGTTCATCAGATAACCTAAGTTGGGGGATAGAGTGAAATAATGTGTGCACTGTGGTGTCTGTACCAGTCATCTTACATAGAATTAAAAAAAATGATTTTTGAAATATACAGATTTTTAAAGAACTATTGAATGTTAAGATATGAATGATATTCTTCTTAGTGTTTATCTAAAAGAATACATGGGGTTAATATTCTGTTAGGAACTGTAAAACTCATTTACTTCCATGTTTATTAAATATATTAAAAATATATTCTGTAAATAGAATATATTCTAGTACAAAAGGGCATATAATCTCTGTTACCAAGAAGTTACAGGATAGTTTAAAAAAATAAAACTAAATTTCAGTTTGCTTAATTTGTAGAGATATTTGGAGAGCCACTGTTATATGCCAATTACTCTTCTAAGTAATGGGAAGATCATAGTGTTAAAGTTTCTGACTCATGGTACTAACTCTTAGCCTAGTGAGAGAGATGACTGATAGGTCGACAAGTATTTAGGATCATAGCAGATGCTTTGAAGAACAATGGAACAGGGTATGAAGAGGGAGAAGCAGGGAATTGTTTTAGATTGTGTGGTCAAGCGAAGGCCTCTTCCAGGAAGTGACATTTGAGCAGAGATCTGAAGGAAGTGAAGAGGGAGCCATATGGCTCTGTTGAAGATGTCTCACTGAGAGAGGAAAAGGCAAATGCACACCCATGATGAAGATGCATGTTTAACAAGGCCAGAGTGACAGGAGTGATATGCACTTCATGGAGCAGGGCAGTTGACCAGGTGCTAGGTTATGAAAGGACACTCAGAAAGGCAATGCAGGGAATGAAAGTGGTATGAGACTGGCCAGATTCCACATGAAAAACAGTCCTTTGGTAGAAGGACAGCGGCTAGAAATGTAGTTTGGGCCAAATTGTAATTACAGAAGAATTTTTTAGTGGGAACTTGTCCCTGTGAATCTAAATCCAAACTTGTTAGAACAATAGTTTAAACACTTGGTTAAATAAAACTCAATAAATAATATCAAACATTAAAAAAAATTATCTTACAGAATTAAAGCACTAGCTTTTTTTTTTTTTTTCCCCTTAGCTCTCAAATAGAAGAAATGCTATCTAAATTATTGTATTGTGTCAATTTAAAAATCAATTTGGGTGAAAAAAAAAGTGGTTGTTCTCTTGGTTAATAATTATGTTTTTATTAAAGCAGATCTCTGAGCTGGAATAAGGTTTGAAAGCAGTAAGTGTACAAAACAACACGTACCCAACCAAATCACTAGAGATCTTTTATATAGCGCTGGTCAGAGTATTGTCTGTTTTTACTTACCAAGCCATTAGTATTTTATTTCATACCTGGTTATTTTATTTCATAGTGTTAAAGTGCTCACAGAAAGAAATAATTTCCATATTTTCTTTCAACATTATGTATCTCCTCCTTGTTTTAAAGTCTAAATTCTTTCTTTGGGAATGGTTAATGGTGTTTTTATGGTACAACTCTAGCTTTATGTCTGGTACAAAGTCTCTCACATTTAGGGGATTTTGGTTAAAACAAATCTTTAATAAGGATTTTAAATTGTATGTTTTATAGTATTTTAAAATTGATTTATTTAAAACCAGTATCCTTAAAAATGCTTTCCACTTGGAGTTTTAAATGTAAACACTGCTGCCTTGCATTATGTACACCAAAATTTAATTTAGATAAACTGAAAATCACTAATTGGCTTTATTGCCTATTGAGGAAAATGTATATTTCTGTATTCTCATACTTGCTAACCTGTGTTCTCTTTTTGTTTTACTAAAGCGAAATTTGACACACATGCTAGATGAAGTAAATATGAAGTCAAATCAGAGGGAGCACCAAAGCATTCAGGTAAAAAAAAAGGGGGGGGATTGGTAGTTTCTTCTGCAAAGAATTTCAATGTGGTTTTTTTTGTAGTAGGATGGGTGGGGAGACCGAACAAAAATGGGGGGAAATGAATGAGGGAAGCAAAGGTAGCTTGTAGGTTTTGTGATTCTATTTTTTTATCAAGTTCCTTTTGAAAGAATTGACTTTTGATATGAAAGTTTGGGTCAGTATTATATACAGAAAGTATTGCTTTAATATAGAATAGGAAGCAAATAATTTAACAGCTTCACATAATTTTTTGTTCATTTAAATATATCTTGGGCTTAAATTATAAATTGCTATTTATTTTAGTTAATTAATTATAGTGATAAAATTATGGTTGTTAATGTAAATAAAATTTGAACTTCTTCTGAAAGTATTTTTATATTGATTATGAAAAATAATTTTGTTAATGACATAACACTTTTTACCTCTGCCTTGCCCCAAACCCGGGACCCAGGATTTCCTCCTCTGACTTGTCACAAGCTCCCGGGACCCAGGCTTCCCTTCCTCTGGCTGGCCACAGGCACCCAGAACCCAAGCCGGTTTTGCCCAGGCTAGCTGCAGCTGCAGGGGATCGTGGGTGGGTGGCTTCACCCAAGACCGCGGGGTGGGTGGCTTGTTCCTCTCCCAGGGCACAGCCTGGCTGGTCCTCATTCCTCTCTTTCTAGCTCATTTGGGCTTGGCTAGTCCCCATTCCTTTCTCCCCAGTGTTGAGTGTCTGAGCAGTTCTGGCAGGAGAAAGTGAGGGTGTGATGACCATTTGAATATTAACTCTTTATTATATAGGATATAGAATAAAAGAGAAAAATTCTTTCATAAGAATTGCTCTTTTGCCAAAACCGGTTTGACTCAGTGAATAGAGTGTCAGCCTACGGACTAAAGGGTAGGACCAGTAGGGGATGTGGAGGAGGCAGCTGATCAATGCTTCTCTCTCATCGATGTTTCTAACTCTCTATCCTTCCTTCCTCTCTGTAAAAAAATCAATAAAATATATATATATTTTTTTAAAAGAATTGCTCTTTTAAGGTTGGTCTAGCACTTACTGTCTTTACTATTTAAGGATCTGCAGATTGAAAATGGAGATTTAAAAGAAAGGTTGAGAAAAATTCAGCAAGAACAGAGAATATTATTGGATAAAGTCAATGGTTTACAGCTACAGCTAAATGAGGTAAATAATATGCATAATAAAATAATCCAAAACTATTTTTCTATCAGTAATTATCATCGGTAATAAATTATTAATAATTGCCTATCACATCAAGTCAGGGTTCTGGTTGCTGAGGAAACTAAAATCGGGTTCACTGGGACCTTTGCATGAAACTTTTAATGACTGATATAAGAACAGAGAATACTGTTTGTATAATATGTAGTAGTAACAAACAACTGAACTATTAGGGCTGTTGGATTGGAGAGGAAGAAGTAAATGTGAGAAGGAAGAGCAAGTAGGTGTTGATAGTTGTAGTTTATGAATAGTTTATGAACAGAGTGAGAAGAGTGACTGACACCTCAGATAGCAGACAGTAAGGTTGGGCATCCTTGTTCCATTCTTAGACATGTGCCAATTCTTTTAAAAGATATTTGCCAAGCTCAAGTTTTTTCAAATAAACTGTAAAAAATGAAAAAACATTTATCCTTTTTTTAATTTAGGAAGTAATGGTTGCTGATGATCTGGAAAGTGAGGTAAGAGGATAAACTTTACTTTAAAACTGCGATGTTATATAAATTGAAGATGATACTTCAATATAGGTTTAAGTCATGAATTGAGATGGAGGACCAGGATTCTATTTCTGTTTATTGCTCAAAGGGAAAAACAAAACTTACACGTGACCATAAAAGTATGTTTTAAATATAGTGGCATGGATTATCATTGACATTTTGTTGTTAATGTCTCTGAATATCTCATTTTCTGTGAAGCTTTCATGAAAAGATATGAAATTCAAAACATTTTAAAGGAAATAAGATTTAAGACAAACAGAAATTTGAAATTTTCATAATATTGTTTGTATATATTATATATATATATATTTTAGAAATGTCAACTCTTCTAATAGTTATAAATCTACCAGGCTAGAGAATTCATAAACTACAGTACTCAAAGTAATTCTAATTCATGTTTCCTAAAACATATTTTTTTAACCCAGTTTCAAGCACAGTGTGATTTTCTTCTGTTTTTTTTTTCTTTTTTCTTTTTTCCTTTCCATTTCAGAAAGAAAAGCTGAAGTCCCTTTTGGTGGCTAAAGAAAAGCAACATGAAGAAAGTTTGAGAGCTATGGAGGCTCTGAAAAATAGATATAAATATTTTGAGGTATAGAAAGCTTAAATTATTTCATATAACTCATAATGGGTAGTGTTAAAGGACTTGGAGTTAGACTTGAATTTGTATTATCATTCTTTTCTTTATAGTTTATATTATTAAAAATTTCTGAGGTTATTACATTTTGACAAAATTGTAGTAATTATGTCTTTTTCCAGAGTTGTAAAGGTTAAATGAGATATTTGAAATTGACTAGCATATAACAGACATTTAGTTCAGTTCTAGTTTCTCCTCATTTCCATGCTAACCACTTAAAGATTTTATAAATTTGCAATGATTGTGATAGCAATAATAACAAAGTATCATATGAATGAAATGTGGTATTAAGATTATCTCAGAAAAAAAATTTGTACGTATGTGGATTAAATAGAACACATTCTTTGTTGAAGAATAGGGTGTTAAAAAGGCTAGATCACATACTTGCTTTGATTGGATCAGTTAATTTTTAGTTTCTGTAAGGCCATGTGTTTTTTTTTAAGACTTTTTATTGAAATATTAAAAAGCACACATGATGCCGAGACCGGTTTGGCTCAATGGATAGAGCGTCGGCTTGGGGACTGAAGGGACCTGGGTTCGATTCCGGTCAAGGACATGTACCTTGGTTGTAGGCATATCCCCAGTGGGGGGTGTGCAGGAGGCAGCTGATTGATGACTCTCTCTCATCGATGTTTCTAGCTTTCTTTCTCTCTCCCTACCTCTCTGTACAAAATCAATAAAATATATTAAAAAAAAAAAAAAGCACACATGATCAAGTGTATAAGTTGAAGAATTTTTACAAATTATTGGGATCAAGAAAAAGCATTATCAGTATCCAAGTATACACTTGTGGAATGTATCAAGGATGACCACTCTTCTGACTTAACTACATATATTCATTTTGCAAAGTCATAAAATATATCACTGGGGTTCACTGAGAAGGTGACTTACTTAGTGTGAATCTTCATTTTTATTGGGGAATATAGCTCCAAAGAGCATAGCAAAGGTAATTTTTTTCTTTTTTGATTTTAAAATTTTTTTTATTACTTTATATTAGTTTCAGACATGGAGCAAAATGGTTAGACAATTATATAATTTACGAAGTGATCCCCCTGATAATTCAAATACCCACCTAGTACTATACATAATTATTACAATATTATTGACTTATGCTGTCCTTTACATCCCCATGAATATTTGTAGTTACCAATTTATAATCACCTTTTTCACTGTGCTTCCCAACCTCTTCCCCACTGGAACCATTAGTTTGTTTTCTGCACCTATGACTGTTTCTCTTTTGTTTATTTGTTCTCTATATTCCACATACAAGAGAAATCATTTGGTATTTGTCTTTCTCTGTCTAACTTATTTCACTTAGCACAATACTTTTTAGTTCATTCATATTTGTCATAGACAGTAAGATTTCATTCTTTTTTATAACCAAGTCATATTTCATTGTACATATGTACTACATGGTCTTTATCCCCTCCTCTACTGGTACTGATGGGCACGTGGGTTGCTTTCAGATCTTTGCTATTGTAAATAATGCTGCAGTGAACATAGGAGTGCATATATTTTTTCAAATTAGCGATTTAGGTTTCTTTGGACATATAATCAAAAGTGGAATTGATGGGTCATAAGGTAGTTCTATTTTTAATTTTTTTTAGGATTCTGCGTGCTTCTTTCATAGTAGCTGCAACAATCTGCATTCTTACCAAGAGTTCATGAGGGTTACCTTTTTTCCATGTTCTCACCAACATTTGTTGTTTGTTGATTTATTGATGATAGCCATTTTGACAGCTATGATATCTCATTGTGGTTTTAATTTTTATTTATCTTCTGATTAGTGACATGGAACATCTTTTCATATGTCTATATGTCCACATTGGAGAATTACCTATTCAGGTCCCCTGCTCATTTTTTAAATAGATTGAGGTTTTTTGGATGTGAGGGGATTTAGTGTTAAGATATATAAGTTCTTTATCAATTTTGGGTATTAACCCCTTATCAGATGTATCATTGGCTAATATCTTCTTCCATTCAGTTGCTTGTCTTTTCAATTCTTTGATGGTTTCCTTTGCTGTGAAAAACCATTTTAGTTTGATGTAGTCCCATTTCTTTATTTTTCTTCTGTTTCCCTTGCCTGGGGAGATGTATAAGTATGGCTAAGAGAAATGTCAGAGATTTTACTGCCCATATTTTTTTCTAGGAGTTTTATGGTTTTGAGTCTTACATTTAAATCTCTAATCTATTTTTAGTTTATTCTTGTATCTGGTACAAGAAAGGGGTCCAATTTTATTTTTTATTTTTATTTTTTGCATGTATCTGTCCCATTTTCCCAACTCCATTTTTTGAATAGGCTGTCTATATGTTCTTGCCTCCATTTATTGAATAGTCTTCATTGTATGTTCTTGCCTCTTTTCCATATATTAGTTGACTATGTAGGCATGGGTTTATTTCTGGCCTCTCTATTCTGTTCCTTTGATCTATGTGTCTGTTTTTATAGCAGTACCATGCTTATTTGATTACTATAGTCTTGTGTAATTTGATACCAGTTACCACATCACCTTCAACTTTCTTCTCTTTCTCAAGATTACCATAGTAATTCGGTTTCTTTTGTGGTTCTATGTAAATTTTTGGATTATTTTTTTATAGTTCTGTGAAAAATGCCATTAGTATTTTCATGGGGATTGCATTGAATCTATAAATAGCTTTAAATGGTATGGTCAATTTAATGATGTTAATTTTTCCTTTCTATTAATATTAACACAGTATATACTTCCATTTATTTGTATTTTCTTCAATTTCGTTTAAACTTTTTTTTTTAATATATTTTTATTGATTTTTTACAGAGAGGAAGGGGGAGGGATAGAGAGCTAGAAACGTCGATGAGAGAGAAACATCGACCAGCTGCCTCTTGCATACCCCCTACTGGGGATGTGCCCGCAACCAACATACATGCCCTTGACCGGAATCGAACCTGGGACCTTGCAGTCCGCAGACCGACGCTCTACCACTGAGCCAAACCGGTTTCGGCTCGTTTAAACTTTTGAGTACTGTTCTTTTACCCCCTTGGTTGACTTTATTTCTAGGTACTTTATTTTTTTGGTGCAGTTGTAAGTGGGATTTTCTTAAGTTCTCTTTCTGATAGTTCATTATTGGTAAATAAAAATGCAGCCAATTTCTAAATATTTATTTTTGTCTTGCTACTTTACTGAATCATTTATCAGTTCTGATAGTTTCTTGAAGGAATCTTTAGGGTTATCTATATATAGTTTAATTTCATGTACAGATAATGAAAGTTTTATTTCTTCCTTTCTAATTTGGGTGTCTTTCCAATTTATTTATTTATTGTCTGACTAGGACTTCTAGTACTATGCTGAATAAAAGTAATGAAAGTGGACATCTCTTTCTTATTCCTTATCTTAAGGAAAATATTTTTAGCTTTTCCCCATTGAATATGATGTTAACTGTGGGTTTGTCTTTATTATATTGAGATATGTTTTCTCTTTTCCCACTATGGTGAGAACTTTTATCATAAAAGGATGCTAGATTTTATCAAATTCTTTTTCTGCTTTTATTGATATGACCATGTGATTCTTATCCTTCATTTTGGTTATGAAGAGTGTCATGTTAATTAATTTGCAATTATTGAACCAACCTTGCATCCCAGAAACAAATCCCACCGGTAATGGTGTATGATCTTTTTTGTATATTGCTGGATATGATATGCTAATCTATTATTGAAGATTTTTGCATCTTTGTTCATCAGATATATTGTCTTATAATTTTTTTGTAATGTCTTTGGTTTAGAATCAGGATAATAATGGCTTCATAAAATGAGCTTGGGAGTCTTTCTGTCTCTTGAATTTTTTTTGAATAGTTTGAGAAGGGTCAGTGTTAATTCTTTCAGTGTTTGGTAAATTCAAATGTGAAGTCATTTGGGGACTTTTTTGGGATTTTTTATTATTATTATTGATTTGATTTTATTGCTTGTAATCAGTCTGTTCAGATTTTCTATTTTTTCTTGATTCAGTCTTGGAAGATGATATTTTTTTTTTAATTTAAAGATTTCTTTTAGATTGTCTAGTTTGTAGGAATATAATTGTTCATACTATTTTCTTATAATCCTTTATATTTCTGTGGTATCAGTTGTAACTTCTCATTTCTGATTTTATTTGGTTCTCTCCTTTTTCTTGATGAGTCTGATGAATGGTTTATCTTCTCAAAGAACCAGCTCTTGGTTACATTAATCTTTTGTGTTGTTTTTGAGACTTAATTTTGTTTATTTACACTCAGATCTTTATTATTTCCTTTCTTCTGCTCACTTTGGGATTTCTTCATTCTTTTTCTAGTTTCTTTAAATGGAAGGTTAGGTTGTTTATTTGACATTATTCTTGGTTCTTGAGGTAGACCTGTATTGCTATGAATTACCCTCTTAGGACTCGCTGCCTCGTGTTATTTGATTGGGCGATCTAAAGTGATCATTGGTAGGTATGAAGTTGTTGATATTTTATTATATTTACGTTTCTTTTTATCCTTATTTTTAAAGAAGTCCCTTTAATATATCTTGTAATATTTGTTTCTCTCTCTCTCTCAAAAAAAATCAATAAACATCCTCAGGTGAGATTTAAAAAAGAACCATTTTTATTGTGATCTCATATATCAGAGTTTGACCTATAGTTATTAGTATAATACATACAAATATACCAACATGAACTACATTTGTGTATCTTCACTAATGAAGGTATAATTTTTAAAATTTATATGCTAGATTCTTAGTATTTGGCTTACTTGACAAAAGGAACAATCCTAATATATTTTGATTCTGAGCATCTTAAGTTTCTTTATTTTTCTTTTCCTATTGCATTGATGGGTTAATACTGAGTGTACATCTTTGCCTTAATTTCATTTCCTGCTATCTGTCTTCTTTTGCTTTCAAAAGTAATGGGTATTCTATAAATTATGAAAGAAAAAGTAACATAAATATTTCACAGTTAATGAGGTAGGATTCCCTTCCTGCTCCCAACAGTGTTAAAATAATATTGTGCAAATGTGACATTTCCTTCTTTAGAGGAAAAGAAGCAGCAAAGAATATGCATTGAAAGTTGTTTTAATTCATTTGAAGCTCACTTTTTTTGTTGTTGTTGAGCAATACAGTTTTTCCTTAAAATACTTTGCTACTTTTATTAAAATGCTTAGTGAAATAGTTCATTCCCAACCTATCTCTTTAATTGTTACTAGTGCTGTGTCTTTGTATTTCTAGTAGAATAATACTCAGGAGAAACAAGGAATGTTGAAAATGTGGTTTTAATGACTACATGGTTTAGAGCTAAAATAGATATAAAATATAACAAAATGAAGAAGTATTCACCTAAAATGTTTTAATTTATACTTTTAATTTCAGAGTGATCATGTAGGATCAGGAAGTCATTTCAGTAACCGTAAGTATAAAAATGTAGATTATTATTACATTTCACCCAGTTTGAAAAAGAAGAATGCTTATGCCTATTTATTTTATCTAACTGTATATTCCACTCCTGCCGCTAAACGTCATCCAACTACCTGCGTGTTATATCTCAACACCTGGAACTGTTATAGCCACTAACATAAAACCTGATCATCTTTGAAGCTCTAACTTTCCTTAGTCCCTGTTTTAAAAACTGTATATAATATAAATAACCAAATTTGCTTTGTTGGTTAATAGACATTTATCTTGTGATATTTGGGATTTGTTTTTTATGGAAGTAAACATAGTTTTTTGATTTGGAGAAATCTTTGAATATAGTCCCAATGCAGGTAATTTTAAAATTAGTTAGAAGTTCCATAATAATTACTTATCTTAAGACTATAATAATTAATCTTCACTTTTATGTATTGTTTTTCAATTTTAAACAGTTTCTCTAGAATTTCTATTTTTTGCTTTCCATTGAATATTAACATTTATCTTGTAAATTGCAAGAATATATTTATTTTTATATGATTAAGATACATATTTTAGTATAATTACTAGAGGTCCGGTACACGAATTTGTGCATGGGTGGGACCCCTCAGCTTGGCTGGAGATTGGGGCCGATTGGAGTATCTCACCTAGTCCCAATTGGGGTCAGTCTATTGGGCTGGCCCAGCTGTGGGGAGGGTCCATGGGAGGTCGGCTGTGGGAGCACACTGACCACCAGGGGGAAGCTCCTGCATTGAGTGTCTGTCCCCTGGTGGTCAGTGTGTGTCATAGTGACTAGTTGACTGGTTATTCGGATGACCAGTCATAACAGTTGCTTAGGCTTTTATATATATAAATGTAGTTTATTTAGTCAACACTTCATATATATACACACACACACACACACACACACACACACACACACACATATATACATATACACATACACACTAGAGGTCTAATGCATGAAATTCATGCTTGGGAGGGAGGGGGGAGGGGTCTCTTAGCTGAGCCAGCCTCTCCAATCTGGGACCCCTCGAGGGATGTTGACATCCCTCTCACAATCCAGGACTGCTGGCTCCCAACTGCTCACCTGCCTGCCTTCCTGATTGCCCCTAACCGATTCTGACTGTTAGCCTGATCACCCCTAATCTCTCCCCTGCCAGCCTGATTGATGCCTAACTGTTCCCCTACCAGCCTGTTTGCCCCTAACTGCCCTCCCCTGCAGGCCTCGTCACCCCTAACTGCCCTTCCATGCAGGCCTGGTCACCCCCAATGTCCCTCCTCTACTGGCTTGGTTACCCCTAACTACCCTCCCCTGCAGGCTTGATCACTCCCAATTGCCCTTCCTTGTAGGCCTGGTTCCTCCCAACTGCCCTCTCCTATTGGCCATCTTGTGGTGGCCATCTTGTGTCCACATCAGGGCAGGATCTTTGACCACATGGGGGCAGCCAGCTTGTGTGTTGGTGTGATGGTCAATCTGCATATTACTCTTTTATTAGATAGGATAGAGACCTAGTGCATGGGTGGGGAGTACTGAAGCTTATTTGCCCTGAAGGGTGTCCTTGATCAGGGTGGGGCTCCCTTAGGGTGTGGGGCAGTTTGGGCGAGGGGCCTGTGATGGTTTGCAAGCCTGCCATGTCCCCCTGTGACCCAAGTGGAGGCTCTGGTATCGGAGTTTATTTATCTTCCTCAATTGAAACTTTGTAGCCTGGGGCGGAGTCAAGCCTTCTGCTTGCTCTGTGGCTGCAGCCATTTCTGTTGGGACTTACCATATTTTCCGGCGTATAAGACGACCCCCTAATTTTTACAGTTAAAACATAGTTTTAGGCCTATATTCTCTGTATAAGACTACCCCCCACTTCAAAGATAAGACTTACTTTGCCGTCAAGATCTGCAGGTAATTTTTGTGCAATTTTGGTCTTTTGCCCCCGATTTTCAGTTGACTTTTTTTCATTTCAAAAGTCATCTTATATGCCAGAAAATATGTATCTTCTATAATTAAAACTTTGTATCCTTAAGCAGAGGCCTTGGCCAGCAAGGGCAGGCTTCCTCCATCGCCGGGGGCAACCCTAGCCTCCTGTTCTTTCCAGTTCCTTGGCTGGTGCCATTTCTGTTTGGATTTATATATCTTCTATCATTGAAACTTTGTAGCCTTGTGTGGAGGCCTAGGTGGCAACGGCAGGCTGAAAGCTTGGCTTCCTCCATTGCTGGGGAAACCCAAGCCTCCCTCCTGCTCTCTGTGGCTGTAGCCATCTTGGTTTGATTTATTTGCATATTTGCTCCTGATTGACTGGTGGGCATGGCTTGTGGGGTAGCAGAGTGGTGGTAATTTGCATATCACTCTTTTATTAGATAGTGTGTGTGTATATATATATATGTGTGTGTGTGTGTGTGTGTGTGTGTGTGTGTATACCTATACAAATGGATATCTAACTGACTTCAGAGAAGAAGAGAGAGGGAGAAAGATATAGAAATATCAGTGATGAGAAAGAATCACTGATTAGCTACTTCCTTCATGCCCCCACACTGGGCATCAAACCTGCAACCCCGGCATGTGCTCTGACTAGAAATCAAACCGGGACCTCCTGCTTCATAGGACAACATTCAACCACTGAGCCACCCTGGTGGGGCACAGTGTTTTATGTCTCTAAAAGGGAACTTGTTCTCTATTCAGAAGAATATAGATACTTCACTTGTGTACAAGGTAAAATATGAATATTTTAGAACAAGGATAATGTTATACTGTAACTCATGCTTCTCTTTTGTTTGAAAAATAAAGGAGAGATAATAACTCCTAATTAATACTTAGCCTACTTTGGTATGGATAATGAAGTTCATATTATTTATTTGGATTTATTTAGGAAAAGAAGATATGATTCTTAAACAAGGTCAAATGTACATGACAGACTCACAGGTAATACTATTTTTTAATTTAAAAATTTATTTAAAATGTGTCAGCCTTTTATAAAAGAGAACAACTTGTATATTTACCAAGAATATATGCTTTGGCTATGGTTTTCATTGTAAAAAAGTAAGTTGGTCTTGGCATTCTTAATTTTAATATAAGTAGATATTGCTGTTTCTGGTGCCCCCTAGTGTGTTTTTGATGATAGTAGCTTAAATGAGAAATTTTAATTACAACTTCATGGTCTTTACAGTAAGCCTCAATTACAGCAGATGGTTAACTCTTCATATCTTCCCATAAAGAGGGGAAGACGGGTATGAATAATTAAAAAGTCTTTTGTTTTGAATTTGCATTATAATTTTCCTTGCTTTCAAAAATGCTGTTTTAGAAATTTTCCTCAAAACAAATAAAGCTTCCACAAAGGAACTGATAAATATTTGAGCTTCAGAAGCCTTTTTTCATGCCTTTATCTGTGGACAGAGTGAATTAGTGTACATGATGTCTACAATCATTTTAGATCTCTCTAAGATTCTAAGTTGAGAGAATGGTTATTAGTCAGCTGAGTAGTACTGAAGAAGATTAGGCAATATTTAAGTAATAAAATAAGTATGGAAATTATGAAGCTGTGTAAATAACTTCTTGGTAAATTATCGTAGTCTCAGTCTAAAAGTAATTGGTAAATTGAATGATAAGGAGAAGAAAACTAAGACTGAGAAATTATCTCATATTGTTAATTTTCTTCTTGATCCAGAGGAAGGCAGTGTAGATTGAACTAACAATACTAAAATAGTGGAATGTACTCATAGCACATCACTTTTATCAATGAATTAGTAGTTGTAATGAGTCCTTATTGTAATTGGTTGTATGAGAAAAAATACAAATAAATTTAATCTTTCATGATTATATATTCTAATATTTATGAACTGTTTCACTGAGTTTAATTATGTTTCTTTTTTAATAGAGGGAACAAGATGCCAATCAAATTTTATAGTAAGATTATATGCAAAGTACTAATTTATCTCTTATTTCAGAGAAGAAAACTTGTGGGTTTCTTGGGGTGTCGATTAACATCATTCTCTTGACCACTCTCACAATAGCTGGGTTTATTTTGGTGGTATTTTTATTACTTAAGAACCTTACATTACAGTTAACAATGAGTGTACTTAGAAGTCAGATACTTTATTAGAAGTTAAATAATAATCACTTTTTTTCAAGGGTTCTGATGGATTCAGATTTGAAGTTCTAAGCATATTATGTGCCATAAAACATAGCAGTAATAAATGTGTTTTGTCTGAGTTGATATTCATGTGAGGGGTAGGAATTGTGAATGGAGAAAGAGAAAACAGTCTCCAGAGGCCACAACTTTTTCTTTGTTCTGCTAGAAGTACACTTAGGTGAATAGACTTTTCAAAATGTCACTATGTAAGTGTGTATTAGGAAATCATACCCAGAATTGTTTTTTTAATTTACAAATCAGTCCTATGTATTTCCACAATACTAATCTGAAACCCTTTGACTACTGATGATGTGGGTACTTTACAAGTATCTTCTTTAGGCTTTTGTGATTGATATCTTTTTGTTTTCTTTTTTTTAGTGTACTTCCCCAGGTGTGCCCGCTCATATGCAAAGCAGATCTATGTCACGACCACTGGAGCTGTCCTTACCCAATCAAACTTTATATTCTGAAAACGAAATTTTAAAGAAAGAGTTAGAAGCAATGAGAACTTTCTGTGAATCAGCAAAACAGGACCGACTCAAGCTCCAAAATGAACTGGCTCACAAAGTGGCCGAGTGCAAAGCATTAGCATTAGAATGTGAAAGGGTCAAGGAGGATTCAGATGAACAGATAAAGCAATTAGAAGACGCATTAAAAGATGTGCAGAAGAGAATGTATGAGTCAGAAGGAAAAGTTAAACAAATGCAGACTCATTTTCTTGCTCTTAAAGAGCACCTTACAAGTGAAGCAGCTTCAGGGAATCACAGACTAATGGAGGAATTAAAGGATCAGTTGAAAGACATGAAAGCAAAGTATGAAAGTGCTTCAGCAGAAGTGGGAAAATTAAGGAACCAAATCAAACAAAATGAGATGTTAGTAGAAGAGTTTAAGCAGGATGAAGGCAAGCTGGTAGAGGAAAATAAGCGACTACAGAAGGAATTCAGTATGTGTGAAATGGAGCGAGAGAAGAAAGGGAGAAGGGTCACAGAGATGGAAGGCCAATTAAAAGAACTGTTAGCAAAGTTGGCCCTTTCCATTCCAAAAGAAAAATTTGAAAACATGAAGAGCTTATTATCGAATGAAGTAAATGAGAAGGCAAAAAAATTAGTTGATATGGAAAGAGAATATGAAAAATCACTTAGTGAAATTAAACAGTTAAAGCGAGAACTTGAGAATTTTAAGGCTAAGATTTCTCAGCATGTCAAACCAGAGGAACATGAGCAGCTCAAGAACAGATTAGAACAAAAGTCAGGAGAACTTGGGAAGAAGGTCACTGAGTTAATATCGAAGAATCAGACCTTACAAAAGGAAATTGAAAAGGCTTACCTGGATAATAAGCTCCTCAACCAACAAGTACACAACTTAACAACTGAAATGAAAAATCATTACATTCCTTTAAAAGTAAGTGAAGAAATGAAAAAGTCATATGATGTAATTATTGATGATTTGAATAAAAAGCTTTTAGATGTAACAGAAAAATACACAGAAAAGAAGTTGGAAATGGAGAAGTTGGAAATGGAAAATGACAGTTTAAATAAAAATGTTAACCGTCTGGAAACTATGTTCATACCTCATGAGAAACATGAAAAAGAGATGATGACTCTGAAGTCCAATATTGTTGAACTTAAAAAACAGCTCTCTGAACTTAATAAGAAATATGGTGAAGACCAAGAGAAAGTATATTCACTCATGTCTGAAAACACCAACTTGAAAAAGACTATGAGCAATCAGTATGTACCAGTTAAAACTCATGAAGAAATTAAAACTGCACTAAGTAGCACATTAGATAAAACTAACAGAGAATTGTTAGATGTGAAGAAAAAATATGAACATGTAAATAAAGAACTTGTGAAAATAAAAGATGAGAATGAAATATTAAAAAGAAACCTGGAAAACACTCAGAACCAAATGAAAGCTGAGTACATCAGCCTAAGAGAGCATGAGGAAAAGGTGAGTGCTGTCAGTAAGAGCATGAGAAAGGTACAGGAGAATAGTGCAGAAATACTGGCCAACTACAAGAAAGGCCAAGAAGAGATTGTGACATTGCATGCTGAAATTGAAGCCCAGAAAAAGGAACTTGACACGATACAAGAATGCATTAAAGTAAAATATGCTCCAATTGCCAGCTTTGAAGAGTGTGAGAAAAAATTTAAGGCAATAGAGAAAGAACTAAAAGAACAGTTATCAGAGCAGACACAAAAGTATAATGTCAGGGACGAAGAGACCAAGAAGTGCAAACAAGAGAATGACAAGTTAAAGGAGGAGATTTTCACTCTTCAGAAGGATTTAAGGGATAAGAATGTTCTCATTGAGAATTCTCATGAAATGGAAAGAGCATTAAGCAGAAAAACAGAGGAGTTGAACAGACAGTTAAAAGACCTGTTACAGAAATACACAGAGGTAAAGAATGAGAAGGAGAAGCTAGTAGAAGAAAATGCCAAACAGACTTCTGACATCCTCACAGCACAGACACTTCTGCAAAAACAATATGTTCCATCGGAACAGGTAGAGGCCCTGGAAAAATCTCTTAATGGTACAATTGAGACTCTAAGGGAAGAATTAAAGAATAAGCAAAAGCGTTATGAGAAAGAGCAGCAGACAGTGACCAAGTTGCATCAGTTGCTGGAAAACCAAAAGAATTCTTCAGTGCCCCTGGCCAAGCATTTGCAGATGAAGGAAGCATTTGAGAAAGAAATTGGAATTATAAAAGCTACCTTGCGAACCAAGGAAGAAGAAAACCGAAACAAAACTGAAGAAATCTCCAAACTTCAGTTGGAGATTCAGAATAGTAAACAAGCATTAAAAAAATTAGAGACAAGAGAGGTAGTGGATATGTCTAAATATAAAGCAACAAAAAGTGATTTGGAGACACAGATTTCCGACTTAAATGAAAAGTTGACCAAACTGAATAGAAAGTATGAAGATGTATGTGAGGAGGTTTTACATGCCAAAAAGAAGGAACTATCTGCAAAAGGTGATAAAGAATTACTACATTTTAGCATTGAGCAAGAAATCAAGGATCAGCAGGAGCGATGCGATAAGTCCTTATCAACAATCACAGAGTTACAGATAAGAATACAGGAATCTGCTAAGCAAATTGAAGCAAAAGATAATAAGGTAGGCCCTGAGTCATCTTCGTGGCTTTGCATTGGAAACCCCAGAGCAGAATAGAGCACTATTTTAGCATCCTACAGACAGGTTTACAGAAGCACAGTGACCATTAAATGCCACCTTTCTGTTTGACTACTGGTGTGCAAAAAAATTTCAGAATTGGAAAAAAAAAAAGTATGAAAAGCATTTTGTATTTTGTTTCCTCAGCTGGTACATCTAAGAATTGAGGAAATATGGGGAGATTCAAGGTTCACGTACCTCATATTGAATCCAGTGGGTTTGGGGTACCTGAAGAACGGTGAGGAGGGGAGGGAAAAAGCTATGTTTCTGGCCAGCGAGAAACCAAAGACTCTGGGGAACACCCCAAATTTAATCTTGGCATTCACCAGTATCAGTATGTCAAGCCCTCCAGTTGGCTGTACATTCTGTCCCCATATCTTTCTATAGACTGGTTCCCTTGCCCAGAAGGTGCTGCCCTCCTTTGTACTGAGTCAAATTATGTTAATTCCTTAATCCTCGTGTCAGCACTTGTCCTCCTTCCCAATTCCTTCCCTGTCCAATCTAGTCCACAGTAAGCTCTTCCTCTTCCAGAATACATGTTTTGTTTTGGCTTTGCCATCTTCTTAAAACATATAAGTTACAATGTCAAAATTATCTGCTGCTCTTTCTCAAAATTATGATCTTCCCAACCAGTTTTTAAGAGGAAAAACTGTAATTTACCTTTTTTTCTTATCATTCTCATGTTATAATTTACATGATAGATGCTCAACCATATTTGCAGAACTGAGAGTTGCATGAAGTGTTTACTATGAAGATGAGAAATTAGGGAGACTGAATGCAATTTTATTAGTTCAACAAATAATTGTTAAATGCCTTGTGCATGCCAGGTGCTATGCTCAGAGTTAGGGACACAGCGGAGTGAAAGTAGACACAGCCCCAGCCCTCCTCAGTGTAGAGATTTAGATACTGACATCTCTGCTCAGATGACCCAGACTTTAAATGGTTAATGGAAGGTAGTTGTGAATATAATTATATATCATTATAATAGCAAGTTATTAATATCTAGTTATAATTGTTGCCATTAATTGAGCAAGTGCTATGTACTAGGCATATCTTTATGATGGAATTTGATTTTTTTTTAACTATAAAAAAATTTCCCTTTCACTGTTAATGAAATTAAAGCTTAGAAAAAGAAAGGAAATGATCCACACTCACACAGCTAATAAACATCAGATCTAATTTAAAGGCTTAAAGCCTATGCTCTTCCCATTATTCTGAACAACCTCCCTATTTTTTCCCTTTCTAAGACAAAGTAGTATAAAATCATATTTTTGGAAGGAACAGGACACATAAACTAATGCTAGATATACATGAGCCATATTTTTTTTTTTTTTTACTTTTAAACTTTGTTGGAGAGAACCTCTACCTTTCTATATTTCAAATGACTTGAAATATAGTCTATCTACCTTCATAGGTACTTATAAGACTCGGGTCACACTCAAATATATACCCATATTCATTCTTAATTTTGTAATGCTTTTGTAAGGAATTCCTGAGAAAAAAATAATTCAAGAAATTCAATATGTTATATATACTGTGTGAAAATGTTCATTGTAAATGAGTAATACATGTTTTTCCCACAACTTTTTTCTTTTTTTTTTTTATAAGATAACTGAGCTACTTAATGATGTAGAAAGACTAAAACAGGCCCTTAATGGCCTTTCACAGCTCACTTATACAAGTGGGAGTCCCAGCAAGAGACAGAGCCAGCTGATTGACACTCTGCAGCACCAAGTGCGGTCCCTGCAGCAGCAGCTCACTGTGAGTACCCCAGGCCAGCATGGCTTCATGCTTGTCCTATCTAATAAAAAAGTAATATGCAAATTGACCATCACTCCAACACCCAAGATGGCCACCCGGCCCATGTGGTCAAAGATGGATGCCACAAAATGTCCAGGGAAGGCAGTTATGGGCAATCAGGCCAGCAGAAGAGGGCAATTAAGGGGAACTACGCCTGCAGGGGAAGGCAGTTGTGAGGGATCAGGCCTTCAGGGGAGGTCAGTTGGAGTGGAGGGCAGGCCTGCAGGGGAGGGCAGTTGGGAGGGAATCAGGCCTGCAGGGGGAAGGCATTTGGGGGGGAACCAGGCCTGCAGGGGAAGGCACTTGGTGGGGAGCATGACTGCAGGGGAGAGCAGTAGAGGGAGAGCAACCAAGATGGCAGAGGAGATAGTTAAGGGAAATTGGGCGGGCAGGGGAGCAGTTAGGTGTCGATCAGGCTGGCGGGGGCGGGGGGGGAGTTAGGGGCAAACAGGCTGGCAGGGAACAGTTAAGCATTAATCAGGCTGGCAGTGAAGTGGTTAGGGGATGATCAGGCTGGCAGGCAGAGGTGGTTAGGGGCAATCAGGAAGGCAGGCAGGTGAGCATTTGGGAGCCAGCAGTCCTGGATTGTGAGAGGGATCCCAGATTGGAGAGGGTGAAGGGTGGGCTGAGGGCCTCTAGTTTGTTTATAAAAGCTTATTTAGAAATCAGATTGATTTGTGGCTGTGTTCAGATCCAAGAAGGTAATCTTTTTTCAAAAAGTTACTTTCACTAATGGTATAATAAACCTTATTTAGTGCCTATGACACGCCAGACACTATACTACATATTTTACATACTTAAAACTTTATCTTCATCAAAATTTTTAAAGTTTTATTCCCCTATTTAACATCCTTATTAAGGAAACAAAGATGGAAATTCTTGATACCTGAGGTCATACAGCTAAGATTTAATCCTGAGATTTGCTGACTCCAAATCTGGTAACTGTAGCACACTTTCTAAAGTAATGGTCCACTAAACTAAAGGGAGTTTTTAAATAATATTTTATCTTTATGAGTAAAGATAGGCATTCCTATGGTTTTATGCTTTTTATCATTATACATTAAAATAAAATATCTGGATATGTAGTATTTCTATATAGGTAACTGTATCCTTATAAATACCTATATGGATATATATATATATATATATATATATATATATATATATATCCTTTATATATTAAAGGAAATATCTGGATTTAAAAACTGAAGATGGGAGCTCAGTTCTAAGCCCTGCCGTTTAAAAACAAGTGACATGAACCCTATCAGGTTTGGCTCAGTGAATAGAGCTTTGGCCTGCGGGCTGATGGGTCCTGGGTTCGATTCCAGTCAAGGGCACATGCTGGGGTTGTGGGCTTGATTCACAATGTGGGCGTACAGGAGGCAGCCAATCAATGATTCTCATCATTGATATTTCTATCTCTCTCCATCTTCCTTCCTCTCTGAAATCAGTAAAAATATATTTTAAAATATAATAATAAATAAAAGTGAGTGACATGAAACATTTCCCTTAACACTTGGCTTCTTCATCCATAATTGAATAATTAAAAACTGATTACTTGTTTGTTTGCTTTTTAATTGAATGAGCTAATATAATATGCATAGAATTGCTAAGTAAAACATTGCATAATCAAATGTAAATTATTGCTAATATTTTCCTATTCTACAGGTATTTGTTATAAATTATTTTTGAACGAAGAAAGTTTTTCTTTTTTTAAGTTTTCATTTTTATAACACTATTGGCCTGTAGTAGTTTGTCAGAATTGCTGATTTGAACCTTTTCAAAGGGATATAGTAGTCTCTTGAATAATTGGAAATATTTATTATTATGTTCATGACACTATGCTAAACTCTGCCAGAGACAAAGAGAGCATACAATTCTTGTCCCCAAGGAGTTATGGGTAGTTATGATGCAAAATATAGGTCTTATAACATGGCAAAAATACCAAATATAGAATTGTGAATACAGTCCCAGATTCTAGGTGATAATTAATTCCCAGGAAGGAAAGATTACTGGTATGGTAGGAGCTAATTTCAAAAAGGAAGGGACTAACTGGCCGAACTTTTAAGGTAGGTGGTGTTTGGGTAGGTGAGAGGAAAACACAATCTTCCAGGCAAACGTAATAGTGTGAAGCAGTCATGGAAAGGAAATGCAAGCAGCATGCCCAGGGAATGCAAGGCCCATCAACCTGGCTAGTACCAAGAGCTATCTTTGCAGCCAAATCATGGAGATTGTTGAGAACCAAGCTGATGAGTTTGGATTCTTTATTATATGTACTGAGGTGACCCAAGATTTTTAAGCCAAAAGGATATAAGGAAAGGGCTGTCTCTACCTCCAAAGCTTAATAGGAAGTCAGATTTAGAGATGGGGACAAGATGAGAAGCTTTTGTGGTAATCTAAAGCTTAAGTTGATAAGTGTCTGGATTGTTTCGTGACATTAGATGTCAGTTAAGGAAATCATTTCATGTGACCTAGGATAAGTATAATTACTTTCACTATGAATATTCCCACACATTCATGAGAAAAGTTCATACTATTGTTATGCTGTGAAATTTTGCATGTGGTCGGTCCAAGGTGGTTTGTTACTAAAAGCATCAGGAGCATTTTAATAATACTGCTGTTTTGTAGCCTCAAGCCCAAGGTCAGCAGTATCACAAGCCTTATGCGTTTGAAAACATGAATGCTGATATTCTGTTCTGCCCTTCTTCCCACATTTCTAGGATGCACACAGACAGCACCAAGAAGTAATTGGAATTTATCGGACACACCTTCTTAGTGCCGCACAGGTAAAGAGCTTTTTCTCCTTTGGAAAGGATATTACTTTAGAGAAAATAAAATTTTCATATTCAAGTAAATTTATGTGAAAATCATGTTTAAAGTAATTGAACCCCATATGCTTATTTAAAAACAATTGTGTTTCTTTTAATCATGGTTTTCATATCTCCCATAGAAATTTGCAAAGCTATATGGCAATGCACCATCTTAAACTTAATGTTATCTCCATTTGCTTGTCATTCATTTTATAGACAGTTTGGCAACATATAATGGCAGCACACATTAATGCTACTGCTAGCTGAAATGATTCCTTTAAAAACAAACAAACATATTTTATTGATTTTTTACAGAGAGGAAGGGAAAGGGATAGAGAGTTAGAAACATCAATGAGAGAGAAACATCTACCAGCTCATACCCACTTCTAGGGATATGCCTGCAACCAAGGTATGCCCTTGACCGGAATCGATCCTGGGACCCTTCAGTCCACGTGCTGATGCTCTGTCCACTCACTGAGCCAAACCAGTTTCGGCATGAGGTGATTCCTTGACAGCCACACATGGCTATCACCAAAAAAGAAGAGTGGAAAAGACATAATTGTTTCTTTGTAGCTTAGGAGTATTCATTTGAAATATAGAGAACAATATAAAAGTACAGAAATGATGAGTAAGAAGTGCACAGAATTATAATAATTTAAGCCTTAAATCTTCTAGGCAGCCGAGACCGGTTTGGCTCAATGGATAGAGCGTCAGCTTAGGGACTGTAAGGTCCCGGGTTCAATTCCGGTCAAGGGCATGTACCTTGGTTGTGGGCATATCCCCGGTAGGGGGCGTGCAAGAGGCAGCTGATCGATGACTCTCATTGATGTTTCTAACTCTCTATCTCTCTCCCTTCCTCTCTGTACAAAATCAATAAAATATATTTTTAAAAAAAAATCTTCTAGGCAAAGGCAATAGGGTAAAGTACTATTAAATTTTCAGGGAAAAAATTGGTTCTGTTAGAAGATTATCAGTAATATTTATTTACTAGTGGTCCGGTGCATGAAATTTGTGCACAGCCAAGGGAGGGGTATCCCTCAGCCCAGCCGGCACCCTTTCCAATCTGGGATCCCTTGGGGGATGTCTGACTGCCAGTTTAGGCCCGAACCCTAATTGCCCCCAACTGTCCCCCATTGCTGGCCTGCTTGCCACTAACTGCCTCCCCCACTGCTGGCTTCATCACTCCCAATTACCCTCCCCTCCTAGTCTGATTGCCCCTAACTACCTCTGCCTTGGCCCCACCACCATCATTTTGTCCGAAAGGACATCCGGAAGGTCTCTGGGTCTAATTAGCATATTTATTATGCTTTTATTGGTATAGAATGAGCCTTTAAAATCAGGCAAGTATAAGAATAAGAATTCCCTTCTTTGCCCTAACTGGTTTGGCTCAGCAGATAGATCATTAGCTGTGGACTGAAAGGTCTCAGGTTCAATTTGGTCAAGGGCATGTACCTTGGTTGCAAGCACATACCAGTGGGAGGTGTGCAAGAGGCAGCTGTTGATGTTTCTCTCTCATCATGTTTCCAACTCTCTATCCCTCTCCCTTCCTCTTTGTAAAAAAATCAACAAAAGAAAAATAAAAGAATTTCCTTCTTTGGATGTGTAATGAGAAAGCTGTTTATTGTTGATGATGTTGTTGTTTTTTAATAAATCACACCAAGAAAATGTTTAACATATGAAGGATGTTATATTTAATGTTCTGCAGAAACCCTATGATCAGCATCTCCAAAGTTCTCAGAATGGATTTTTCAGGAAGATGTTCTAAAGGAGACAATATTAGAATAGCAAATGAGATGTAAGAGGATTTTTTATGATTTGAAGCGTGTCAGGCCACATGGTTAAAAGAAAAAGAATAGCTTGTTGAGAGAAAATTTCAAAGAAAGGTCTTTAAAAAAAAAAAAAAAAAAACTAGGTGAAATAATAAAAAGAAAGAAACTATGATATCAAATTCCTAAAATAAAAAAGCTGGCCTGTTCTATAAAAGATGATTGAGAAACCAATGGAAAAGAATACATTTGTATGATGAAAGAAAATATCTTGGGCTACTTTCTTTAGAGATAGGCCGGGATTGGGAAGTATATTGTAATTATTGGAGAAGACTGTTGAGGGACCATGAATGGGAAGTTTAGGAGGGAAAAGAGTAGAAGAGTATAGATCTGTATTGGAGCAGGTGAGAAACTCACTCAGATCTTATATTGGCCAAAGGAGGAAGAGTATGCTTTCCAGAAAGACACTGCAAACTAATAAATTTTTCAACTTTGAATGTATGCTTCTGAAATTATTTTCTACTGACTCCTAATCCTATCTAATAAAAGAGCAATATGCAAATTGACTGTACCTCCACTACACTCACAATCAGGAATGAATATGCAAATTAACCCAACCAAGTTCGCTGAGGTCACAGCAGGAGGGAGGCTTGGGTTTCCCCAGCAATGGAGGAAGCCAAGCTTTCCACCTGCCCTTGCCAGCCCAGGCCTCCACTTTAGGCTACAAAGTTTCAATTATAGAAGATACATAAATCCCAACCGAAATGGCTGCTGCCACAGAGCAAGCAGAAAGCTTGGCTCGGCCCAGGCTACAAAGTTTCAATTGTAGAAGATAAATAAACCCAGATACCAGAGCCTCCATTTGGGTCACTGGGGGACATGGCAGGCCTTGCCCAGTCCACCCAATGCCCCAACAGAACCCCTACCCTGATCAAGGTCACCCTTCAGGGCAAACCAGCTGGCCCTCACCCATGCACCAGGTCTCTATTTTATCTAATAAAAGAGTAATACGAAGATTGACCATCACTCCAATACACAAGATGGCTGCCCACATGTGGTCAAAGATCCTGCCCCAATGTGGTCACAAGATGGCCACCACAAGATGGCCAGCAGGGAAGGGCAGTTGGGAGGGACCAAGCTTGCAAGAGAGGGCAGTTGTAGGCAATTAGGCCAGCAGGAGAGGACAGTTGGGAGGGACCAGGCCTGCAAGGGAGGGAATTTTCGGGCAACCAGGCCTGCAGGAAAGGGCTGTTGGGGACCCAGGCCTGTAGGGGAGAGCAGTTAGCGGTGACCAGGCCTGCAGGGGAGGGCAGTTAGGGGTGACTAGGCCTGCAGGGGAGGGCATTTAAGGGCAAATAGGCTGGCACGGGAGCAGTTAGACATCAATCAAGCTGGCAGGGGAGTGGTTAGAGGGTGATAAGGCTGGCAGGCAGAAACGGTTAGGGGCAATCAGGAAGGCAGGCAGGTGAGCATTTGGGAGCCAGCAGTCCTGGATTGTGAGAGGGATCCCAGATTGGAAAGGGTGAAGTCTGGGCTGAGGGACAGCCCCCCCCACCCCCCTGTGCACGAATTTTGATCACTGGGTCTCTAGTTAAACACAACAAAAACAGTTGGCATCTGAAATAGTCTTGCCTTCTGGCATCATAAAGTTAACTAAGAAATTCAGTTTAGGCAACTATGAATAATGTTTGAAATTTAAACGTCCTGGTGTTATAGAAACAAATTTTGGAAAGAAAAATTTTTGTATAAATAGGAAGCATTATGCTGAAACCTATTCAAGTGCTCCAGTAAAGAAAAAGAAGGGGAAGCTGTAATAAGCTCACCACGATGACTTGCATTTATTCAACCCTCTTGCCCTCTTTTTAAGTTTAAAGTGTTTCTTTCTAAATATGAATGGCTAATGTTTGTGTAAAAAGATCTCAACCTCACCAGTAATAGAGGAAATTCAAATAAACAAGAAGGTATTATTTTTTACTTATAGGATTGGCAAATATTAACTAAGATGGTGGGCTATAACATTGGCCTGGGTGTTGTGGGAAATGGGCATTTATACCCTGTTAGTAGGAATATAAACTGTTATAATCTCTATAGAAGGAAATTTTATAGTACTTAGCAAAATTGAAAATTGAGCTTGCTTTTTGACCCATCAGTTTGTTTTTTAGGAATTTGCTCATAAGATTGGAAACATCTTTAAATGCCCATTATTGAGGGAATGGATAAAGAAATTATTATACATCTACATAGTGGATATTATATAATATTTTTAAGTAGTTAAGCATTTAACTTGGGATAGATTTCTATGACATTGGGTGAAAAGGCAATTTGCAAAATTATATGTATGATTTTATTTATGTAAAATATGGGGATTTTTCATTAATTACTTTTCTCTATTAAAAAAAAATCTCAACAGGGGCAAAAATAAAAATTTCCTTATAGTTTACTTTGCTCATTTATAACTCATGTTGTCCCTTATTATCTAAGCTGTTATAAGAAAGATCTGTTTTCTAATAATAGATTTTAAGAACAACTGGTGACCACTACAGTTTTTTAAAATATTATTGTTATTTCAATCTTCACCTGAATACATGCTTAGAGAGAAAAGGGAAGAGAGAAAAGGGATGTGGGAGAGAGAGAAACATCAATTGGCTACCTTTCATAAGTGATTCCGGTGTGTGTCCCTTTGGTGGACAGAATGACACTCAATTAACTGAGCCACTCTGGCTGCGCAGTGAGCACTACTTTTAAATTAAGTTTTAAAAATTCCAATATATTTTTCAATAAATCCTTTAGGCGTAACCAAGGTAGTGAAGATTTGGCATTTGGTGAATCACAATTAATTAAGCCTATTATATAAAGCCTTTGTCTTTAGTTAGAACTATTGTTTAAATGAAGATGACATAAAATATTTCTCTCCTTTCTTCTTTGTCTCAAGGGTCACATGGATGAAGATGTGCAGGCGGCCTTACTCCAGATTATACAGATGCGGCAGGGACTTGTATGCTAGTGATCGGTACTTACCCGCCAGTGTCTGCTTCACCAGCTGGTGCTGAACATTCTATTGCAATTGCATGGCCTTTGTGGGCCTTCCTGTTCTAGTATAAATAAAATAAAATATATTTGGTTCCATCAGTAGGTTTTAAAAAATTAGATAAATATGTTACTGAGCTTTTCAATATCAGTTCAAATCTTATGTATAAATAGGAAGCATTTATATTAATTTTCCAGTTAGGCAAAGAGCATAACACTTTGCCTTGGACTGGCCACATATTTTTTAAACTGTTGAGTCCCTAATAAAACAAGAGCCATCTGAGTGGGTAGAAGAGGGGTTAGGTTGAAAAAATTGTTTAAAGATTTCTCTCAGAGAAATTGATTTTGTCAGTGGCCACTTTAAATTGATCAAAAGATCTTTCACGTCTTTGGTCTGAGCCATGAGACCTAACGCTGTTTCAAGAAATGCTTTATAACTTGGCTGGCCAAGTTGTATTTTTTATTGAAGTAACTTAATGAGTGCCTTTGACTTCTTTTGGAGGCACATTTTTTTCCTTCTTTACACTAATAACTTTTATGCCTTTTAAAATAAATTTCTTTTCATACTGGTTTGCAGTGATAAATTACATTTAGATTAAGAACAGGCCAGGGTGGACTATATCAGGAATTTATCATAAAATTGCCTCATAATCTCCATAACAGTATCTTAATTTTCATTGTGATGATTTTTCTTCCTTCAGTATTTAGAGAAACATAAATGCCATGCTAGATTTTTCAGTGTCGAAAAATTTAGACTTTTTTACTTTGACATTTGCTACTGTAGTAACCAAGCATTCATTATACATGCATCCTCCAAATATTTGTACTTATTTATAGGAAATTGCACTAATAAAATTAATAATGTGAAATGCAGCTTTCTTGCAAAATTAGCATGAGAGAATTGGTTTTAGAAAACAGATCTTTAAGATTTTAGACAAAAATGCAATAATATAGTAAACTTTAAAAATATAGTGAGAAAATAATAAAATTGGATGTTTATAGTAAATACTGTGTTGTAGCCAACCATTTTTATTAACGACGTCTCATTAGAGAGTTTATATGTTTTGTTATTTTTATTAATTTTTTTACCATTGAAATTGAAAATTACTAATTTGACCGTTAGCAAATAAACTGAACAAATGATTGCCACCAACATTTTTTAAATTGCAAAGTGTGCCTTAGCAATAATAATCTTTGAATATCCTGAATCAGATTTTTGATCCCATTTTTGTATAATAACAAGGACACAAGACTATCAAAATAGCTTTTCCCACCAAAGAAGAAGTCCTTGTATTTTTTAGTGTAGAAACAACAGTGAAAAATCAGAATTGGATTTATTCTTAATTCTTTAGATAGATATACACAGTTTACATAAGCAATATAAAAAGCAATGTTCTGTTTATATTTAATATGTTCTACACCCTGGGTTATATTTCATGAGTACTATGTCACCTACTGAAGCTCTGGAGTGGAGAAAGTTCTTAACTGAATTTTCCGTATTAGGGGTGGGAAGGTAACCTTATGTATATTTTATTTTGTCTTCAGCCATCAATAAAATGTTTTCTGTGAAATACTGTTTTGAGCATCCTTCTAAGTAAACAAGTCCATTTGCTATCCTTAGAAAATTTGGTGTAGAGAGCAATGGTTTTCAAAGAACAGATGGTGATATTCATCTTCAGTTACTATGAGGAGTAAAGGAACTTTCAAGTAACCTTGAATTCATCCCATCTTCTCATTCACTCACCCTTCAATATCAAAGGCAGAGACTGCATTTACAATACTGAAGGCTAAAGTTTTTAGATAGTGAACAAGTAGAGCATAGATAATGAGTGATGCTGGTGTCTGCTGTCCTGTGTGCAGAAAGACAATAGGGGCTGAACTTCTGGCTAGGAGGAAGGATGCTGAGTTGCTATCTAAGAAGTGAGTACACTCTGAAAGAATCACTGTGATCCCGTAGGAGTGCAGTCCTTTGTTGAGAGCTTTATTACTATTCCATTGTGTAGCACTTTTTCCCACTCCTGATTCATCAGAAAAGCTCATTCCTTTTGACAGAGAATCTGTATTATAAAGAACTATTAACATAAAATCAAATATTCATCTAATGAACATCTTAAATTTTCATATTATAGTCACTAATCACTTGCTATCCCTGGGCTGTCCTAAAACTAGTTTAATCTTCCGTGTGGCTTGTTTTTTGTCTTAACCTTTTAGTCCCAACCAAACGTTTTACAGTTCAAAATGTTTGGTTATTCTAAATGCATGGGATTATTTCTACTTAAAAAAATCTTGCAGCTTTAGAACATGAGCACTTATTTCCTCCATTGTTAACAGCTGTCTTCTAACAAGGACCTAAACACTGTTCTCAGACATATGCTTCATACCTATCTAAAGAGCCCATGTTCTTGATTCACTTATTTCAAAATAGAATAGGGCAGAGTTTTAAATGAACTGTTGGTGTCCGTGATGACTGCTTACACTGATGCCTACCATTAGCTAGCAGTAGTTACAAGCATCTCTTGATGTCTGCTTCTCCACGGTTGAGGAAAATGACTTTTATTTCTATTTTCCTCATCACTGAATTCTTCAACCTTATCTTTTTTCCTTTTACATTGTGCATCAAAGTCTGTGTACTACCCCTGGCTCTAAAATAAGGATTGAAAAAGGGTTGCCTGTGATGAGCTTGCAAAGTGTGGTTGCACATGTCTGTCAGAGAAAAGGAACCTAGACCTTACTCCTGGCTACTAAATGTTTTGAATAATTTTTCCTTTTTTCAGAAAGGAAAAAAACAAATGGCACCATAAAATATATTATGTGCAGACTACACCATTGACAAAATACAAAATGAAAAAATGGGAATTCCTGCTCTTATTTCATTGTTCTTAACCAAACTGGATCTGACATTCGTTGTTGGAAATTCTTTCCCATGTTTTGTGCCTTGGCTATTTGAAACAGCCTCTCTGGGTAGATATTAACCTGCTTTGTAGCATGGCTTCTGTTTCTTATTGCACACTAGAGGCCTGGTGCACGAAATAAGTGCAAAAGGTGATGGTCCGCTCAGCCCGGCCTGCAGCCTCTCGTAATGTGGAACTTTTCGGGGGATATCCGACTGTCAGCTTAGGCCTGATCCCACATGGGATTCCTATGGGATCAGGCCTAAACTGGCAGTCAGACATCACTCTGACAATCCAGGACTGTTGGCTCCTGACCTACTTGTCTGATCTCCCCTAACAACTCTGCCTGCCTGCCTGATCACACCTTACTGCCTCTGCCTGCCTGATCACACCTTACTGCCTCTGCCTTGGCTTCATCCCGAATGATGTCCAGAAGGTCGTTCAGCTCTCCAGTCTAATTAACATATTGTGCTTTTATTATTATAGATAGGGGTCTTTGGCCGACAAGAGACATGCAGAGGTTTAAAAAAGATGAAGCTGCAGCAGAAATGGCATTCCAGTGAGACTCTCTGGGCAGTGAGAACACTTGCATTTAGCATAATTGGGCATGTGGCATCTCTTATGCATTAGAGGGTATTTTCATTATTTATGCTTGCATGAACAAACATTGGTGATGAATGAATTTAACCAAAGAGGGAAGGTTACAAAATTGTCATATGTAAATGAAAAAGAGCCAATTGTGTGTGTGTGTGTGTGTGTGTGTGTGTGTGTGTGTGTGTACCTACATATATTCCATTCAATGAAATAGAAGAGACATCAATAAAAATATGCCCTGATAATTGATATTTAGAATCAAATTGTACTTAATGGGCCCAATTTTTATTTTATATTTTAAACAGGTTTGCAATTTTTTCTTTTTTTAAAATAGCAGTCCTGAGAATATCCTGAATTTAGGAAAGAGTTTAGAGAGGTTATTGCCTTCTTAATAATTTAGAGCTTCTATTACTCTGCCAAGTCTGAAGATTAACATTTAGTAGAAAAAAATTACATATCTATAATTCAGTCACAGCTATTAGATCAGATGGATTTCACATTAAGTGAAAAAGATGTTGAGCATTTAAGGACCATTAAACTACAGGACTCTTTTATGGGGTTTTAAGGCCTCTGAGCCTGGGTCCTGCTGCAAGGAGTATTTATTTTATATATATAGAATGCATTAAGGGTGGGGAAAAGGCAGGCATTTTAAAAGAAAATAGGCCATGAAGAAGTGTCATTGTGAACACTTTGTGAACAGCTACCCTATAGGTTCAGCCTTATTTTATAATAATTAGTTTTATGCATCATTAAGTTGCTTTCTTACATGCTAGCAGAATATGGTGAAGGCTGCTTTAAAAGTGGTACCTGCAGGAAATCCAAGTATCCTGGAACCCTCTGTTGGTATTTTATTTCGAGAAATCACATTTCTAATAGTTTCCAGATCATTCTACCTTGTAAAGAATTTAAATTTGAAAATGCCTTCTCCAGAGGTCCTTAAAGACCAAGGAGGAGGACACCTAAGGAGGAGATGTTACTTCTAATAAGCCCACTTTTTTCTAGTGATACCCAAATGATCAAGGAGGACTGGAATTCCACACTGAGGAGAACCACTCACCTGTGGGGAGAACATCTGTGCCATTCTGTTTATTAAGTGCTTGTAACACAGTTTTCATAGTTGTAATTTAAACATGACAAGCAATAACTTTTCTTATTATTTACCCATACCTCCTGTCCCATTCCCATCTCCAAAAACAGGATGAGTTTCGTGTAGGAGTATAAAAGTGAACATGTGGGAAGGAATCTACACTAATAAAAGAGAAACATACAAATTGACCATCCCTCTGCTATGCCCATTGGCCAATCAGAAGTGAGTATGCAAATTCACCCAACAAAGATGGCAGTGACCATGGAGCTGGAGTGAGCAGGAGGCTTGGGTTGCCTCCGCTGACAGAGGAAGCCAAACTTCCCACCCACCCTGGCCACCGCTGAAGGAGTGGCTGGTGACCCAGGCTTTCAGCCCATCCTGGCCTCCGCTCAAGGAGGGGCTGGT